TCAAGCAGGGCATCGACTTGCTGCGAATATTCCGTGAGCAAGGTGGTAGCACTCTTGTCTTCTGTTGTCCTACTTGCGGCACCAATTTCTCAAAATTATCGAGTATGTTCATGCACGTGGAATCGCCTGCTTGCTCTCAGCAGCTGGGCGAAGGGGCAGTTGGCAAGCTCCAAACGTGGCTTTCAAACTGTCACGGATGAAGAACAGCTTCACGACAAGGTTATTACTCATCTCGACGTTTCCAGGTACCAGCAACTTCTATGATGTACATTAACAACGTCCGCGGGTATCCGCATTTGACCTTCACAAATGCTGGTCAGAATTCGTGTCGCATCTTGCTGCATACACATCAGAGAATCCTAAAAAAACGAATGCTTGACAGAGTCATGTATACTTCTTTGCACGAAAAACGCGACACGAGCTGTTGCAGAAACAATACATTTGTTCGGTATTCCTTTTCACACAAGCTACCTCTATACGTCTAAAGTCTGTAGATTCGAGCCAGTGGCATTCATCCTCGCCTCTGCCATAAGCATCCTCTTCTGGTCCAGGTCGAAGACAACGTACGCTCCTTGCATGAATGGGGCACCCAGGCTAGCGAAATCGTCTCCATCCGAAGGAAACATCGGTAGAAAGCACCGAGTGGCGCCTGAAGACGAGTCGCGTACCAGCATTGCAGCCAAAGGGGTACTGACTTTCGCTCGGTTGTTGTTGAAACCGAATGAAAGGCTCTCCCCGCGAGAGCCTGAGTCGCATGACACACTGCCCAGTCTACCAGCCTGTTCATCGAAGGTCGTACCTACAGCCATAGCTATAGCGCGGAGTGAGGCCGAGGGGATATTCAGTGCCGGGTTTCCGGTATCGATCAATACTGGAGGTAGACCGCCTCGTGGTGCCAGGTCGATATTGGAGCCAGAAGCAGATGAGTCGCCGCCCACTAGCTGCATGGAGCTCCAGTTGATAACAAATTTCGATGCGACTCCATTGTTGTTCAGCAAGAACGAACCTGCATCTTGGAGCTGACCTTGGAACTTTGCCGTGTCAACGCCGCCAAACACAATGGAACCTTCTGGGTTACCTGTCGAAACTTTTGTCAGTGGGATACACGGTAGAGTAGTTACCGCGACTCACGGAAGTCATTCATGTAGACACCATATACGTTGGCGGCGGTCACACCAGCATCTTTGAGTTTGGCGGGCGCGTTCTGATAAGTCGACCGGATGACTTCATTCTCAACAGGTCCGATACCTAAGATGGGGAACAGTGGAGTTTCGGCTGGTAGGGAACCTTGTTCGATAACTCCCAGCTGCGCATTAGATATGGTCTGCTTCCCAAGTTTCAATGCGGTAGAAATGAATCGCCCTCGGAACGCAGCACCGTTAGCGAAATCGGTGTTTAGTTCAATGCCAACGTCTTTCAGACTGCTGTCCTTGTCCGTGTCGAAGGAGCCAGTGACGAAAGGAGTGCCGGAGCATTGTTGCTGTTGGTCTTGACATATACGACTGCCAGTCCTTGGGATGATGAGATCGCTGCTTCCCGTATCCAAAACTGCTGTTATCGACTGCGGCGGCGTACCGACTTCTATCGAGATGAGAGGAACGAATGAACCGGCATTGTCGATATGCTTGATAGGCATTGACAAGAGTTTCGGAGTTTGCGCCCGTGCAATTTGCACACCAATGAGGAAAGATATGCAGAAGGCGACGGTAGAGAGCGGAGATGCCATAGCAAGCAAGTAGGACGAATGCACCGACAGAGATGAATAGAACTGATGATGTAGTAGAGTTGCTGGAGGACTAGTCGGACCGGAATGACCTCGCCGTACTTACTTTTGGCGAGCATATCTATACCCAACACACTGGAATCCTACCGAACATCCCATAGACAATTAGTCGAGTCATACCGTCTTTGGTAGAATCGGAAGGAGTCCTTTCGCAATGTCGATGCTAATCGTTCAAGCTCGAAGGCCAGCAAAAGCACCACCCATTGGCCAGCCTCGAGCCCGTCAATTAGGAATCCCCACAATCGCTGGAAATATCTCCATCGCAATAATCTACCTGACGGCTGCTAGAGAGGTCAAAAACACAGGTGTGGCAAAGTTGCCCGCAAAGGGTCAAGTCTGCCGACAAATATGAAGGCATCTTGCAGCAATAGTACAGGATGCCTTGTCCGCAACCGTCGCTACGTCGGAGCTACAGACACCGCGGGCTTCCCACATAGATTACTTGTTTCGGAGGATGTTTCGTCTCGAATCAGTGGGAGCAAAATGGAAGAGCAAAAATGTAGCAAAAAGAGAGTTGTCTCCCCACCATGAGTCGAACAAGGGACCTTCTGATAACAGCAGATATTACAGTCAGACGCTCTAAACCAACTGAGCTACGGGGAGAATACTTCAAAGCGAAGTCGTGCTTGCTGGATGGAAATTTTGCCAAATTTGTCATATATTATGGCGTGTGCGTGGCTAAGCTCACGGACTTCGGGTTGTGGCGCGCTGATATGCAAGAGTGGGGTCGAAGCGGTTCGTGTTCCCAACTCGCCGATTGCTGACCTCGGAACTCAAAGCGAAGAACACGACACGAACCGATTCGGAGACACCTAACATCTACCTAGGTATACCTGAGTGGAGTTCGATATCATTATCTACAAACCATGCCTTCCCCTATAACCGCCAAACAATCGCTAGAATACACCACTTGAACTATCACTCCTAGCCCCGCCACACCGCTTCAAGCACGCACATGAAGCTCAGCGGGTCTGCTTCCACTCTGACCACATCAAACCTCTCATCAGCCTGCTTGAAGATATCTTTCCACGCCTCCACCGGCCTCTCCTTCGCATTGAACAACGCCATCATCCTAAGATCAGTAGCTGTACCAAAGCCCTGTATACTCCTCGGCAATTCCTCCTCGCTCGGTCCCTGCTTGCCTACGTAGTCGATGAAGATGACGCGCGCACTAGGTTTGAGTGCAGGCCGAAGCGCTTGCAGTATCTTTACTGACTCGACATCTGGCCAGTCGTGGAGAATCCACTTGAGTATGTAGATGTCTGCTTCTACGGGCTGTGGATCGAACATGTTGTGTGTGCGGAAGGAGACGCGGGATTTGAGCTCCGATGGGAACTCTTTCTCGAATACTGGAGCGACTTCTGGAAGGTCTTCGACGACGATTTTGAGCTTCGGGAATTTGGCTGCGAGGACGGCGTCGTCGTGGCCAGCGGAACCGGCAAGCTGATCGTTGTTAGTCACAGGAAAGAGCTGAGATCAGCAGATACTCACATCAACAACTGTGGCTTCACCGGCAGCCTCCCAATCAACAGCATTGAGTATGATGTTCTCGGTGTGGAAAAGGTCCTTGATGTACGCCATGAACTTGACAAAGTTCCTCTGCCGCCATCCCTTCTTTTCACCTTCGCCATCGTTCTCAATGAAATCCCAGCTGTTATCATAGTCACCCCACGCACCGCCAGAGTGACAGAGTCTGAAAGCGGTCTCCTTGATGTCTTTACTCGGCTCTGCCTTTCCTTGCGAATAGCGACGCAGAGCCTCAGGAAGCAAGAGCATAGGTGGACCCGTTTCATCCAACACCGTCTGCACCAGCGCAGATAGACCAGGGTCCTTAGCCAGGGCAGCAGACCGTGAAGTGTGTTTGACCGAGGTTGCTGCAGGCGAATCTTTGGCGAAGAAACGCATCGTAACCGCATGGTCGATGACACGGCTCACAACCTCTAGAGGGAGCTTGGTGTATCTCGCTATCTCTTCGAACGTCGCCTCGCCATCCACCGGCACTGCGCCCCAGAAGTCGAACTGATTCAGAATGTTCAAGCACGCCGTGTCTGGGACGGCCATGTGCACGTAGTTGAACACACTCTCGCTCGGTCCTTGACTCAGAATCCACATGTCCTTCAATGCATCCTCGAGGAGTTGTCGGGTCATGAAGACATCCCCAGGAAGTTTCTCGTACTTGATCGGACTGTCGGCCGCAAGAGTGATGGGTGTCACTTTCTCCGCCTCCAGCTGCTTCGTGATCTTAGCAGCTAGCTCGCTGATTTGGGCCGCGAGGCTGTTGAGTGTTGCGATCTCATGCTGTTGGATAGAACCCATGTCGACGTCGTCTGAGTTAGACTTGGAGCACTTGAAGGCCTGGAGTAGGGGAAGCTGTGCCCTTCGTTTATGGCACAACTATGGCCGCTATATGTCAACTCTCGCCGGGACCCGAGTAGGAGCTGTCTCCGTCATCGGGACAGAGGAACCCCGGTACGTCGACCATATACTAGTATTTTCTCATCATGCTATGCTCTGCATCTTTTGCTCATGGGAACTGGCTAGCCAAAACCATTGTAGACGGCGGAGGATGCAGCTTTTGATTGGCACGAACCAGACGGGCAGTCGCGCGAAGAGAGCCTAGGGCAAGAGCAAGTTCGGAGTCGCGTCCGTAAACATGTACCATCAAGGCACGATGTTGTAGCCGCTGCATCGCCAGTGGAACGATCATTGAGACCGCCAGCGCTAATCAGATCATCTTATCAATCTGATAAGATTTCTTCCAGATCTAGACCTGGGTCGCCGAGGCAAGCTGCTGCCGCTTACAGGCAGCGCCCCGCATCACGCGTGAGTCTGAACGAAAATGAATACGAGCATTGTGGACCCTATCATGATGATTAGTGATAGTCTAATCTGAACTGCGACTGTGATGAAGGGTGAGAACTCGACGGGGAAACATATCACAGATGCAGGAATCAATGGCATTGGGTTAGTGACACAGTATACCAACACACGCGCGTATGGAGGAGCTCTGATGCTGAATTTGTAGATAAATGCGTTTTATTTCGAGACATACTGCGTCCCTCAGACGGACGTGTTACGTCAACTCTCCATATCAACATCGCGGCTCATTTATGTCGTCTAGAACAGTTCATCTAAAGCCCGCGGCGCTATGCAAGCACAAATCCATCAACCCCCCAATTAAACATTCGATCCAAAGAAATATGATAATATCAACATCCTATTTTCGTCCAATGAGCTTGCTGAGCCCACTCTTCTTCTTCCCGTCCTTCTCCTTCTGGTCTTCCTCCTTTACGCGCGCATCCTCGGCGGCACGCTCGTCCTTTGTCGGTACTCTGGGCTGGTCCGCGAAGCGAATACCGGGGGTGCGAGGCGTAGGTGACAGTGTCTTCTGGCTAGGCTCAGCGGCACGTGAGTGTGTACCACGGCCAGTCTCCATTGGGTCACCAGTCTCCTCATCTTCGGAGTCAGACTCGGGAGTATCGTCTTTGCCGACACCGAGAGCGCCCAGACGACGCCTTCGCTCCGCTGCTGTTTCGCCTTCAAACCCTTCTTCAGGCTCATGTGATGGTGGGATAGCGGAACCGCCTGAAGTCTCAGCCGGAATATTCTCTGCAGCTAGGCGACGTCGGCGCTGTGCCGCGGTCTCGCCACCCTGATCATTAGGTCGGTCCTCGAGATCCTGGCGTACAGAGTGGAATGGTACATGCTCGTCGTTACTGTCCACCAGCGTCAACCCTTCGGGGCCACGTGCGTGACCCTCCTCCCTGGCTGCTGGCGACTCGATCTTGTGAAGTTCTGCCTCTCCCTCTTCACCGACAACCGGGGGAACGTTGGCTTGCACGGAAGCTGCCCGACGGCGCTGTTCTGCAGTGTGATCTTTGGCGTCCTGATGGGCGGCATCCTTGACTGCTTCAGGAACATCGCTAGCTTGCACAAACTTCGCCCTGTCTTTGGGGTTCATTTGCGACATTTGCTGAATAAACTCAAGCTTGCTCATGCGACGACCACCAGCTGTCACGGTGAAGCGAAGTAGGTCATCATCTTCCTGCTCTTTCGCCGCCAATTCCGCTGCCTTCTGCTTCTTTTTGTTATTTACGGCTTGAGTGCCGGATGCTCCAGCTTGTTGCCCCGCGGGCACGCCCATGTGAGTTCCCATCCGCTTCAGACTCTGTACAGCACGGCTTGACGTTTCCACCATGGACTGACCGCGAGGGTTTGCAGGACGACCATCCTTTCCTTTCTTCGGGGCAGCTGGAATGTCATACTTCTTCAAGACCTCACCATCCTCGTCTTCGACAATAATGGTATTACCATATTGGTAAGCAAGAGCGGGGCCATGCTTTCCGGACTTTTGTGCCGACTTCTCCGCCTTTGGAGGTTCCGCAGCCTTGTCCTTGTGACCATGGCCTGTGTAGCTTTGCATTCGATTGCGCCAAGTTTTGTGAGGGTGTTCAATGGCGTTCTCAATCCGGCTAGGTGCTTCTTCAAGGGCACCGCCGTGCTCGTCTTGTGACACGCCACCCTGAACATGCTTTTGACGCATGAGCTCTTGTGCCCTCTCACTATCGTGCCTTTGTCTCTCCATGCCGTGCTCGCCATGACTGTCTCTTACGCCGAGAACGTTCCCTTCTTTGTCTTCAAAGACGGTTTCATGGCCCTCCTGGTAGATCTCCTCCTCTGGTATCCGCCTCTTCATCTTTCCTTTCTCGCTTGACGAACTGTCGCTAGAGATAGCCATCGTGTCAGCAAAGGTATCGGTGTCTTCCTCGGGGGGTATCGCTTCCGCCTTCTCTTCGTCGCGTTTACTGGGGGCAATAGCTGACTGCGAAATTGGTCCACCTGGACCTCGACCAGCATCCCAACGCCTTCCTCGGCTCGTAGGCTTCACAGAATTGCTGTCTTCTTCCTTTTGACGGCGCAGGAAGCTGTTACCGAAACCCACCGCTGCGAGTTCCGACTTTTCATCCAATGACGATTCAGAGGGGCGGCGAGCCATGGAGGATCTGGAGCGTGATTGAATACGGGGAAGGCGGTCCATCCAGCCGGGTCCATTCTCGTTGGCCTGAGTATAGGACATCGAAATTGTCAAAGTGTTGATGCGCTTTCCAAGGGTGAAAACGGCGATGGAACTTCCGTGGACAATGATACTGACAATGACCAAGAAACATGTGATTGGCCATATCATCTCAATGATGTTTAAGTGGTCGGATCCTTCCTCTCCTGGCTTTGGCAACTCGGCCAGCGGGCTCGTGGTATCGGTCTCGAGTTCGGCCCTTGCAAGGATTGCGACAAACAGACCGCCGACACCAATGGGTCCGAAATGACCAGCGAAAGAAGCTTCGCGCCAGGTCTTGATATCGGGAATGACTGGTTTGAGTGCCAACATGATTGGTATACGGCGGAAGAAAAGTACCAGTATACCAAGCACCACCAAACGCCATGGCGAAAGCCCGATGCTTGGCTCGTTAAACAGTTGCCAGGGAATGATGGATCCGAAGTAGACGAAGAAGGCCAAGTTGATCAGCAGATCAATAACGTTGGAGACGTGAGATTCTTCTGTCTTCTCAAGGAACCATCCGTCGTTGGAGAAACCTACACCGCAGGCGAAGCCCACAAGCAGATCGTCCATACCAAGCAGGGCACCGGAACCAGCGCAAAACAAGGCCAGGACGAAGTAGAACACGAGGAAACTCTCTCGATCGATAAGGTCCTTCTCGTGGGCCCATCGAATCGCGCGACGCGCAATGTATCCGACCATGACTCCGTAGAAGGCACCGAAGACACACTCGTAGAGAATAGTGTAGCAGAACCAGTGAAAGGCTACCTGGTTAGCGTCTGGCCGGTAGTGGAGCAAGTAAATGGCCAAGTACACGAAGGGAAAAGCCATGCCATCGTTGCAGCCAGATTCACAGGACAGCAAGTCTCGAAGATGCTTGGGTACTCGCTTGGCGAACTTGCCTTTACCAACGACAGACGATGCCAAGACAGGGTCGGTGGCGGTAACGCAAGCTGCAATACATAGACTGTCAAGCCAGTTGAGGTGGGAGTTGAACAAGCCCCAGATGAATAGGCTAGTCACTAGCCAGCCAAAGGTCATGACGGGGAGCAGTAGTGCTACGATAGACTTCCAATGTTTCTCCATGTACGCGCGAGGCAACTCGACACCGACGGCGAAACATTGCACGACAAGGACGATGCGCGAGAACTCCAGAGTGATCAAGTCGACATTGCCCCAAGTCGACGGGTCTATCAGGTTGGCGGCGTGTGGGCCGAATATGATACCACAGATCGTCGCGACCGTGGCTTCACCAATGTACAGACGCTCTTTGATCACGGAAGAACACAGCATGAACAGACTGGTGAAGCCTCCAAGGATCAGGTAAACCAGATGCGGCTTGGTGATGGAGAGATGGTCCCACGCCATTGCGACGGTTTGTTCCTCTCACTGTCCCTCAGGCTTATACGAAGTGTGTATGTGTATGCGCGAAGACGGTTCGACGCGCTCGATGGGTTGGAGGGTAGGCGAGCGAGGGTCTCGCGGGCGAGAGAGGGTTATGTAGGGAGGAAGTTGGCACTGGGGCCGCGCTGTCGTGGGAGTCGGCCAAAGGAAGAGAAAGATGGTAGCGAGACCGAATGCATGTATATGGGGATCCGCCCAGACGCCGGTCCTTCACAGCCGTGTTTGGCGAACGAGGGTCTATGGTTAAAGGTCTGTTGGCGACGAGTTAGTCATGTTATGGGATGAACAAGAAAACCCAAGCCGAATGCTTACGAGTTCAAGTGCTGCTCGGCAACTGCATCCGAAAGCTTGGATGGTGCGCGTGGTAGTCGGGTAGCAACCAAAGTTGAGCACTCACTCAATGCTCGTGCGCAGATTGCAAAAACAAAGGCGCGTTTCCAATCAAGCCACTCCAGTCGCGTCTCGCAGGGCGTCGTCGTTGTCGCACTCTTCAGCTCTACAGAGAATGAGCGGCAGAGGGAGAGATTAGAATACGATTATCTCTCTTCTTCTATGCTAAAGCGCTTGGTACTTGGCAATGACGTTGGTTGGCTCCAGGACGGAATAGCCATCGCCTAATCGGACGCCACCGAGATTCAACAGCCACACCGTTGCTCCATCTTGCATGCCGAAGGTTCGCCGAACATGCGAGAAGACTGCCGCTCTTTCAAGAACTATTCTACACTGTGCGTCCAGCGCGAAAAGCGTTGAGAGGCAGTCAACATCGCAGTTCCTTCTTTCCCCAAAGCTGGGGGCGGAGAGCACTTCGCTCCGATAGGCCGTGCTCCGAGCCGCCCCAACTGCTGTGCCCAGCCTTGGACGCCCTCGCTCTGCGGTTCCGTGGAGGACTTCTTCACTTCCGTCTGTCGTGGTGCTGCGCGCGAGGCCACCTGACAAAGACTCCTGCACGATGCTTATCACATGATGCTCTTGCATGCAGGGTGCAGCACCCTTTCTGCACCTAGGCCGACCAACGGAACTTCAGTCAGCAAACATGATGAACGATGGTTGGCTCGATGATACGATTCATGAGCCCTGGCCGGTAGAAGTCCACTGACTATCGCTAAGTAGTCCGGTGAAAACACATGGGCCCCCACGAACAGCCGCTATGCAGAGATTTCCGCTCTGGAGTTCGCGGTGAAGGTAGGTCGTCTGCTGAAGGGTAGAGGGTGGGCTTTTGTATACTGCCTCGCATGCTCGCGGAACCAACGTCATCGGACATCCGCAAAGCTGGAGATACTCTACCCCATGGTTTCAAGGTAGATATCCTTCAAGGCTCGAACGCGAACAAGGACTGAAGAGTGGATCGAACATGCCAGGGAAGTCGCGATCTCAACACCATACACCCCGGGAATAAGCCTTCAACACGCGATGCAACCCCAGCGCAGCGCAAAACATTAATCTTCTCAGCAATGTCCCGTTCACGCGAATTTGGCACGTTCAACTCCCCAGCGTTAATCGATCGATCACGCAAGGATGCAGGTGAAACCCTAGTTCTCAACACCATCTCGTTCCCTTAGATTTCTCCATGCAAATGTCCGATCTACCATCTACTCAACAAGGCCAGCATGGCCACGACCATCGACGTCATAACCTCCTTCCACACAACCTACTTTACTCCGCAACAATCCTTGCCCATCAAAACCTGTCAAGATCTCGCCAAACGGTCCGATAGCCGCGTTTCACCACGGCAAGTCTGCCGTCTACACAATGGTCGGCAGGAACACCAAACGCTGGTCACCCTATCCAGGAGCCTAAACTAAGGCAGAAAACGCGCTTCCGCGCACAGAACTCGCGGTATCGCGAATTCATACTTGGGCAGGTTAATGAGGCTGCAGGTTGGGTAGTTGTGCAGGATTCCCCGTTGATAGCAACCCAAATACGAGAAGCCAAGAACTCACAGACGTGCAAAACCACAACAACAAACAACACACAACAACAGCAGCAGCACGCGCTTCGCATCTAGATGCACCGAAAAAGAATTCTCCTTTCCTTGTTCCCACTATCTACTCCACAATCTCCACATACGTCACTTCAGCAACGGGCAACTAAATGCAGCATTCCAGGGCTCTGCCTGGAATGTTAAAGGAGTAGATGGTAGAACCCAGTTGTTATGGTTGCGGATGTAGAGATGGTGAGCCTGGTACAAAGTAGGCGGGCTGACCTTGCAACATGGAACCCAAGGCAGGGCCCGTGTTTGATGGATGTGTCCATGCTTGACTTGATGGGCGTTGCGCGGGCGCTTAGCACGGGGAACACGGTTGGATGACGGGTGAAAGATGGATGTTCGTGACGTGTGAGTTGGTTGTTGTGCAAGTGGATGGCTATGATGAATGCTGAATCAAGGTATGCGAGATTAGCTATGAAGAGGACGAGAATAGATATTGTATGTCGGCATGATCTATGTTTGAGACATGCGACCTGGCTCTGTCTATTGCGCTGTACATCAGTCTGATGGACGTATGTAACGGTACATCTGTTACAGCCCTTTGAGATAGTCGTTCGGAGTTGATTTTCTTCAGTACCCCTTGCACGCGACAACCAAGCTCCGAGGAACGCACATTGTAAATGGTCATGGGTAGGAATAATATGTACGTCGTGATATTTACAACCTATGTGGTCGACTAGATATGATGATTACGGGAAATGTGAAAGCGCGAAGTTGGGGACCTAAGGGCCACCCATCTAACATGAAGCTTGTGCCCATGAAACAACAAAGCGCCTGGTCCAGCGAAGGAACATCCCAGCGAACCCTTGACCCAAACACGCGAAACAGCCCGAGAGCGAGCAATGCGACAGTAACGAAAATGCGCTGCAGAATTTTCCGAATGCACCGTGGTACCGGGGGAATTCCCTATATCTCCCAGACAATGAATGCACAGACCGCCTAAAAGCGAAAAGAGAAACGTCGTAAATGTAAGTAAAAATGTATATGCATGAACTTGAAAGAGAACGTAACACATGACGTCATGGGAGTATGGTGATGCTCAATGGCCGACAGGCAACCAAGTTCGGCGCTCGTCCATACTCCTGGCGGTGCGACCTCCTGGCGTCAGGGGGATCTCGACGCGCGCTCGGTCGTTGCGCTCGGGGTCGCTGTCAGAATCGTCGTATGCATCAGACAAACGGGAGAAGTAATCGGCCAGACCACTCGTCGGCGATGCGATGCTTTCGTATAGAGGAGGTGGGGTTTCCAGAGGAGGCGGTGGTTCTATTTCCGAAAATGCGGGTGGGTTGAAAGAGGGTACGCGCATGAGGTGAATGGGTCTTTGCACCGTGGAGTCATTCGGCCCGCCGATGTGTGCTGCTTGCGGGCGGGTGAGATTTGGTGATGGAGTTGGTAGTACGGCGTCCGAGTTCCCTCTCGAGCGACCCAGAGAGCTCAATGTAGGTACAAAGCTGGTCGGTGAGTTGCGCCGGGATGGTGCATTGGGGCATCCGCACTCGGGTACCCGTGTGCCGCTCAGGGCAGGTTCGGGCGACGAGTACGCTGGGAGTGCTGTGTTGGCTTGCGTAGCCTGACACGAAAGGATATGGAAGGGCGAATCGATCGAGATCTCGAAATGCCTTCTCTTAGTCGGGTCGGTGGCGTCCGGTTTCGAAAGGCGCATGACAAGCTAGTCGATTGTTAGTGTGTACGACAATGAAACCCAGAATTAGACGTACCTTGATCCAATGGTGCACCTGTATGTTCTGGTACGTGGTGTCGAAGTGCAACTTGGATGACTTGTCCTTCTCTTTGAGGTTGTGACAGCTTGGCAGTTGCACATTGAACTCCATCTCTGTAGGCCCGATGTTTGCATCTCCTCCAAGATCACCCAGTAGGTTGGTGGGATCTTGCACCTGCACGTCCTCGCCTCGAGAAGCGGCTGCCCGCTGGTCATAGGGGACACCCCCTCCAGACACTATCCGCATCGTACTGCCGGGGAATGTACTGGTCGGTGGGCCATCCGCCCGTTTCTCGAACAGCTGAACCTTACGAACAGGCTCCATTCGATGCACTCGCTTGTTGTTACAGAAGTACTCGACGTTCTCCGTGACAAACACTTTGATACGATGACATTGCACTTTCGCCAGTGGGGTCAGCTTGAAAGCGATAGGAACCTGAGCGCCGAGTGGGAAGGATTTGCCGGAGATGACGATGTCGTAGTGTAATTGGTCCTCCCAGCTGCGGCTGATCGCAATAGGCTCGACCTGCTCTAGTGACCCCTCTGATGGCGCGCGGATCAGGGTAACTTCCTTTGTTCCCATGAGGTTTGTGCGGAAGGCGCCAGCGCGTTCTACAGTCGCTTCCAGCTCGTACTTGACGGAACCAAGGTCGACATCGATGGTTTCGGGAAGGTGGCTATCCAAAGGCAGCTCGAAGTTGTACATGTACTCTCCGGGGTTAAAGGTCCTGTAACCCTTCTGTGCTACCGAGGGGCCGCCTCCAGGGGTGTCGCCCTTACCGAAGCTTCGCGATTGGTTGACTTGTAGCGATAGTCTCTTGGCCTCTTTTGTCGTTAAATTCAGCGAAGAGTTGTTTGGCGATCCAGTCAATCCATTAGAGCCCTTGTAGAGTTCCACGTGATCTGCACCAGTACCGTTCTCGGCAGTGGGGAATTGAGAGTTAAAGAATGGCCATGTGTGGCTCATCAGAGTATCAACCTCTTCGAATTCAACCTTCTTTGGAGGAATGCCTAATTACTGTTAGTTTGAACGAGGAAAACGATGAACGAACGTACCTTCTGGCCACTTGGTCGTCGCTTTACCTCTGAACTTGAGCGTCACAGCCTTCAACTTCGCAGGTTTCGAGATCTTTAAGCATAGTGTTCCACGGAGCATAGCTGTACTTCGCTCCGCATGCTCGGCTTGCTCGAAGCCCCGTAGAAACAGAACCGGCTCTGTGAGTTGCACATTCACACTGACGCCACCACCTGAAGCCACTGGCTTCTCTTCTGGCAGGCTCTTGACATTGGAGATTATGCTCTTTGCAGATGCACGACCGGAAGACCAATGTGACTCGGCGACTGATGGTCTCGGCATGCCTGCTGCAGCCAATGTGCCTCCAATTGCGCCTACTGCGCCGCTGCCAGAATTCCTCGTGAGCGACCGCATGTCAGCGGTGCGTGGTTCTGGAACAGAGGCAACCGAGTTGCGATTGCTGCTAGTAGGAGTCGTCGATGATTGAGGGGTAGGTATGTCTGTAGTTTCGGGCTTGGAGGAAAAGTGGGTGTCGATAAACGACCGTAGGAAACGTTTAGCGCCGTCGCGTGGGGCCGCCAGCTTTTCTGTGAAGTACGACTGACTAGTCGTCTGACGCCTCTGGCTGCGAAATAGAGTCGGATCAGGACCGACGTGTGCGATGTGAATGCGGTGCGGTCTGCGATTGCGGCCAGCAAAGATGCCGCGGTAGGTTTTCTTGGGGGTGTCTAAGTGGTCGGGTAGATATCGTAATCGGCCACGTTCAGAGTAGACGGTGTGGTACTCTGGCATAGCGACGATGCGTTAGTGACTTGAAGTGGAGGTGGAGGACAGGATCAAGGTGTGGTGGCAAGGCATGCGGCGTGTTGTGTCTTATACGAGGTGTAATTCAGGAAGCAGAGAAGAATTTGGCTTGTGCAACACCTCAGAGTCATGAGAGGGGTACAAAGGCTTCTTGACCACGGTAACCCAAGCAGGTTCCATATGGATGCTTTGGGAAGGGACGTTGAGGTTGGGCGCTACTAGGACAAAGGGCCCGAACGCGGTGAAGGGGGAGATGAGACAAGGACTCACGAGCAGAGACAGGGTATCCAAAGGCGTGGGTGAGGCTACCTAGTTAATGATGTGTAAATGCGATCAGCACGACAGGCCACTGTAGGGTAGTGGAGCGGTGAAGTCGCCGGTGCGTCGGAAGCGTGCGGGAATACCCTGGAGCGAGGGTTTGCGCTGGCGACAGAGAGGAGTTTCCTGCCAGGACAACAACGGCGAATAACAGGAACTCGCGGGTGTTTTGAAGTGAGTTGCAGCTAGCCAGCGAGCAGGCATGTTACGAGGACGCGAGCATGTCAGACTAGGGCAGTGCAGGGACGGCGAAAGTGTACCGGCGTCGAGCGTCGAGCGTCGAGTTTGCAGGGAACAGACGGATGACGCGGACGGTGGACGGTGTGCAGCGCTGCTGGTCGGCGGGGTCGCAGCAGCTAGGATGATGAATTTGAGATGGGCTGCTACTGCTCTAGCAGAGGTATATCAGTGGGTACCCGGATGGGGTAAGGAATGGTTGTGATCAAGTGCAAGCAGCGCATCAGGGCAGGATATTCCCGCAGCGGGTATATGAGCGTGCTAGGCGTTACTAGGAGCGGCATGGCAGCGCAGCAGTAGCTTGCGCGGACGGAGGCTCGGATGCATTACATCATGCTGAGCATCAAGAGTGCGCAAGACTCGATGCAGGGGTCAGATCTCAATGGGCATCTGCTAAGGCTGCTTCTAGACCCGTTGGCGGATAGCGACCGACTACGGCATACCCGGCACGTTACCTTGATCGACGACGACAAGGCATGCTTCATCCTGCCATTAGGCTCGCACGGATGGCAAAGCCCCGACAGGCACTGATTACAGTATGTATGTATGCGAGCACGCGCCCATGATAGCTGACGGGATATGGCATCGCTTAGACTCCAAGATGGCAGAGCCACGCTGGGCATGGGCAACGCGCAATCTCGCGACAGACCAAGCGATGCTCCGCCAGCGCATGGGCGGAGAGTTCGTCTTCCTTGTTTTGGAACTATCGAACAGATGATAGATCATGCCCGGGCATCTTGTGCCATGGTGCATCAGAACAACCACATAAACAGGGCGTCACCTCCCACGATCGCCGAAAAGAAACCTGACGGCCCAATCGCGTAGTGATCAGCGCCTGGGGTTCTGAATCTGGAGTTACAGCAAACGTGAGTGGGCAGATCGGCGCAAAGAACAGGGCGGGCTGCCAACTCAGCCGCCCTCAAGTTCGAGGCCAGGAACGAAGCAGTCGTCATTCTGGCTGCGGTGGATCCTCGGCAGTGGGGTGGAAAGCTTTTTTTTTCGTGGCATGTGCGAGATTCGGCGCATCTGGGGGAGGGTTGAGGAGCGGACACGGCAGGGCGGGCAGTGCGGAAGGAATGGCGAGCGTGAGGCGGCACCACGTGACCACGCTGGCTTCCCCGCAACGCGTCTGGCGAAGGGCAGGGCTTAGCTCAGACGCGCTTCGCTCGGCGTAAGCACACGACACCGCGACTTTGCAAGTAATGGATGCGCATGATGGAGGCTATGGTAGGACATATGGTATCATTATTATCATACACATGCTCACATGATGCAGGAGCAGGCCAATTGCCCCTGGCTGGGGCCATCCTCTGTTGCACTTCTATTGCCCCCGAGCAGCGCGTACGTCTACTCCAGATGCTGATATCTGGCTGTCTCTAATGACCATATAGGCCAAACTCGCAGCGATTGGCGCGCAGATGGGCGCGACCATCAAGCTCGACCTCACATCAGACGTAACCCACCTCATCGTCGGCAGCACCGACAGCGCCAAATATCGCTATGTTGCCAAGTCTCGCGAGGACGTGAAGGTCCTCTCCCCGGAATGGCTCGAAGCATTGAGGGAGGTGTGGATGACTGGCGATGACGACCTGGACATGGCCGCGCTGGAAAAGGAGTACCGCATGCCGACGCTCGCTGGGCTGAGAATATGCCTTACCGGCTTCGACAACCGTACGTCGCGAGTTCTAAGTGCACACGACGATACTGACTACTACAGCCGATCAACGCAAGACCATTCAGGAGTCAGTGGACGCCAACGGAGCCGAGTACCACGGCGACCTCACCAAGTCCGTCACCCACCTCATCGCAGCGGCGCCATCGGGCAAAAAGTACGAACACGCCCTGAACTGGAGGATGAAGATTGTGTCGCTGGAGTGGCTCGAACAAAGTCTGGAGAGGGGCATGGTGCTGGACGAGGCCCTCTACAACCCCACCATGCCTGTCGAAGAGCGCGGCCAAGGTGCTTGGGATCGCAAAATGCCCGCGTCGCCCGCCATAGGCAAGCGCACACGAGATGCAGAGCCAAGTCAGGCCCTGAATCCTTTCCGCAGAAAGCTACGTCGCTCAGCAAGTACTAAGGTTGGCAGCCAAAGTGATGCCTTTTGGGCGGGCATCACAGCGCCCAGTTTCGAACGACCGATTGATGAGGATGAATGGACAGAGGAGATTGTTACTAAGCCAGATAGCACCCGGACAAGCACTCGCACCCATACCCCAGCGTCCCCTCACAGACATGCATCCGTCCATGAGAATGATTCGCTTATCGAGGCGCACCTTGATGACAATGCAGACAGTCATGAACCATCATTGCCACCACATGCGAACGATGTGTCCCAACATGATGGCATCTTTGAAGGACGACTCGTATGCACGCATGGCTTTGATGCAGAGAAGGTTTGTCATACCATCTTACATTTCAGCCCTAGCTGACGTTCCCGCTAGACAAGCATTTTGCGCCAACACCTCGAGAGCAACGGCGCGCACGTAATCCATGCGACCGATCTCAACAATGCGCCATCCGACGATCTAAGACGAGGCTACTTGGTAATACCACATGACGTCGAGGTCGATTCGGCGGCACTTCCGGGGCGTGCCGGAGAACACATGAACCTGGCCACTAATTGGTGGGTCGAGCGCTGCCTGTATGGCAAACGTCTAGTAGATCCATCGGACGATGTGTTAAGTCGACCATTCGAAAAGCTTAGTATCAGTGGTAAGCTCGTGCTCCACGATTGTTTTATTGGCCGCTGACGTAGCCAGGGTTCTCTGGACTCACCATCAACTCTACGGGCTTTTCCGGCATCGAGTTACTGCATGTGACCAAAGTTGTCACGCTTATGGGTACGGGATCAGCTCCGCTTCCATTGAAATCGTCTGACAATTTTGACAGGTGCCTCGTACGATGAACAGCTATCGGCGAAGACCTCGGTTGTGATCTGCAACCCTCCTACCATAAACACACCGAAACTCAAATTCGCCACGGACAAACGGATACCCACTGTTCATGCCACATGGCTTTGGGATTGTCTGCGTAGTGGTCGGCTACAGTCGTATGCCGAGTATCAATTGAACAAACCAGCGCCGCCTCAGCCACAGAAGCCTAAACAGAGGCCTCAGCCACAAGATGATGTGCCCACTGCACTGTTGTCTACGGAAGAGAGCCTTGAGCTTCGTCAGAAAAAGCAACAGCCTACCAATGCCGTGAAAACGTCTCTGCACCCACAGCAGCGTGGTAATCTTGCTCTCACTGCACCAGCAGATGCAACGCCTGCATCAACTACAGATGAGGCGGATACTTCCAACAATGATACCAACGGCCTAAACTACGATGACGATGAGTCTGTCATACCTGGATTGGATGGCGCAGGTTCCCACCCCCTCCAAGAAACCAGCGCCAACTCCCCGCGCCGCCCATCAACGTCCCCGCATGCCTCAAAATCGTTCTCACGACCCAGGAGTTCATCGGCCGAGTCTCTCATAGCCCCGGCACCCCGCAAGTCCAAGGCTGGTCAGATCCCAGATCCGGTCGTTCCTGTTCCTGAACCCGACTCCGTGATCCCGGCGGATACCGAGCCGGTACCACAGGAAGTACCAAAAGAAAAGGAAACAATAAAGGCAAAAGGACCGGAAGAAGAAAAGGATTACTCTTCAATCTTAGCTCAGATGCGCGCAAACCGCAAGACCGTGCCAACGTCCGTCGATCAGGCACCTGGCAAGACGCGGAAGAGGCGGCAGCTTGGTCGCGCAACGTCCACGCGGTCGAACGCGTCAGCGGGTGATAGCTCCGGGAACATTCTGGCTGGAGAAGAGGAAGAAGAGGAGAACACGGTGCTGGTGGAGGAATACCAGCCTAGCCAGGAGCTAGGTTGGGATTCTCCTGGTGCTGCGAAAGCGAGGGAGCAGATGATCAAGAAGCTAGGTGGGACTATGCAGGAGAAGAGTGTGGCAGTTGAAGGAATTGGCGTCGTGAAGGACGTTGGAGGGAATACTACAGGAAGGGCGGGTAGGAAGAGGCGAGGGTGAAGAAGACCCTCATCTTGTACAGTCATGATGTAAGTGGTGTATGTGCAAGGAAGTCATCTTGGATTTGACTGCATGGGATGGCGCAAAGCATAGCGAGGTGTTCTTTGAAGTAACAATGGAGCATAGCGCAGGCGTTTGATAGTAATACCTTTTGTCAGTGGAATCTGATTCATCATATTCCATACGTCACCTTCAGTCGTCTCTCCAAATGCCCTTTGGCTGTTATCACTTCTTCTCCGAGCCCATCTTCTCTCAACCCCAATCTCTTTCTTTGACTCCTTAGTTCTTCCTCCCCCTTGTTACCAAACTGCTCAATCACGGGACTGGGTACGGCGTCCAACCTTGCTTCATCTAGCGGGTGGCAGAAGTACGCCATACTGTATCGTTCCTGCCCGCCCTCAAATGTAACCCGGTGGACTGTAGATTTCAGCATACCATTAGTCCAATAACACAGCAAATCTCCTATGTTGACCAGGATTGGAGGTGATGACGATGGCGATGGGCTCACCGGCACTGCCTTCCACCCTGAAGGCGTAGACAGTTCAAGGCCGGGCTGGCCTGGCAAACGGAACAAGAGAGTTAGACTACCGTAGTCCGAGTGTGCACCTGCACGGATACTGGTTTCACCTTGCTTGGAGTCTTTTCCTTGGGAGATCGTAGATGGGTAGTAGAGCATGCGGAAGATGCTGCCAGAAGGGCCGAGAGATTGGTCGTGTCGCGTGCTGAAGTACTTGGGGTCTGGGATTTGGAGGGCGGTGTTGAGGAGAGAGAGAATTTGGGTGCAGAGGGTGTGGCAAGAATGTTGAAAGCGGGTAATCAACTTGGAGGATTCCTGTAGAGGTGATGGGAGGGGTTGGAGGGTTGGGTTTGGGGGTCCGATGTTGAAGGCTTCTTTTGGATCACCTTGCTATTATTTGTTTCGTCAACAGGTCGTCTCATCACTTGTTATGTCGATAATCACCTTTTGGCCTTCAGGATCCAGAGATTCGCCTTGCATCTGTACCCAGCCGCGGTTTATACCCCCAGCTTTCTCAGAGTGGATCGCGTATCCAGATTTCTGCTCTTTGGGAGCGGCGAAAAACTCCTTGGACTGTTCTCATCAATCAACAAGTCTAGTTTTGGACAATCGACACATCATACCAACTTGAACATGTCATCGATGTCCTGAGGCGGGATGGTCACGCCATCGTTCTTAATGTAGAGGAAGCCATGTGTGGAAGCCGCGACCAGCACTTGCCGAGCGACGTCTTCGGAAGGAGTTGAGATATCAATAACCGGTATGGCTTCCGAGTGGTGTCCTGAACTAGCCATTTGGAGAGAGAGTGAGATGTGACGCGTGAAAGCCTGGAGTAACGCTAGGTGAGGGGCAGAGGTGAGACGTGAGACGCGATTAGGCACTAAGAAAGCAACAGAGAAGCCACGTTCGAATTGGGGTGTTTTTACGGAAGCAGATCACCACAATTCTGCGCCTACCCGTCATTCATCCCTCTACTCGGCGCGATTGCGTTCCCTCGTACGGCTAGACGCTGTACCTGAGCTAGCGCCCGGCTGATCAGGGATCGTGTAGTTGCCAAGGCGTGGAGCTGCATCGGAGCTTCCAATTTACTGTCCACACCCCCGCAACCCTCTACAACTTTACCACACGTCGTCGCTACATACAGTAATCACGCCAGGCGAATCTCTTAGTATTACTCGAGACTTTACTGCCATCGTCTCCGTTCATTATCAATCCCTCATTCCCATTACTTTCAAACAGCCCCACCACGCGACTGGCACCATGATCCGCGACTTCGTACAATGGACGGCCACACTGGGCGAAACGGGCGAGCTCGAACAATTGCGCAATTGCCGCGTAGGCATCGAAGCCGCCGAATATCTGAACCAGCGCATCCTCAATCACCCGCGCGCAAAGGAGCCGCTTGTGCCTGCGCTGGGAGGCCTTCCGCTCGCCTTGACACAACACATTGAGGACGATCTGGCCCAATTCCGCAGCTTCGACATCGAACCCGTCTTCGTCTTCAGCGGGCTGGACATTACAAAGCACGATGATCCTTTCAGGCAAAAGGAGACCGAGGCATCGGTAAACATCAATGCGTGGACTCTGTACGACGGTCACGAGGCGGAAGCCTCTGTCGCTAAGTTCGGACAGTCAAGTATGGCCACCGTCGAGATGAGACTGTGTATCGTGCTGACTCTTCTCAGCATACGTCACGCCCGAGGACCTCTTCCGCGCCCTACAGTCAACCCTGACCGAGCGCAACATTCGTTGGACAGTCGCGCCATACAGCGCCTGGGCCCAGGCAAGCATATCCGGAATCTCTGTTCGCAGTAACTAATGATGGACAGTTGGCATATCTCGAGAAACACGAATACGTCCACGCCGTCTACGGCTCGTCAGATATCCTCATCTTCGAATGCTCCAAAATCATCACATCTTGGGACTTCGAGGCCAGACATTTCAGCTTCGTCCGCCGAGAGAAATGCGTAGCCGACCTCTCGAAGTTTGTCGGCGCTCCCAACATCTCAGACGACATCTTTCTCGACACCTGCATACTGGCCGGCACGCCCTTCCTCCCGACCCACCCGATCCTCGACGCGCCTAACAGGGCAGAACTGATCAAGCCGCACAGTGCTGTTAAGACCATCATGAACAACGGTCAGTCTGGATACTCTGTGGTTGTCAACAACAATGATGTCCCGCCCACGGGCAAGGAATACGTCACGCGATACCAGAAAGCACGTCTGGCCATCAAGAATCACCCTGTCTACACAGAGGAAGGGAAAGTCGAGCCCCAAAACTCTGGCTCGATGCCTAACGATGCGGGACAGTATCTGGGTCAAAGGCTCCCAGATGAAATTCTCCACTACATGTCGAAAGGTCTCATCAGCCCACACATCATCCAGTGGCGCACTACCTGCGAGGTCTTCGAAGTCCCTCCCATGGATGGTGGCCTGTCTCCAGAATACAGGGACCTCGTCAGCTCTAAGCTGATCCCACTTCGAACACCCGCTGTCAACCTTTTGTCTAGTACCTTACACAATTGGTATCGGCACCAGTCTCTGCACCAGACGCATTGGTATTCTCCTGTCGAACCCAATGGGAAACGCACATCCACAACCATCCCTGTCGAGAAGCCATCAGAAGCCATAGCTCCTTCGCTCGTTGACACCTGGAACGTGAAGGAAGCTACATTCAGGGATGTTGTCGGACAGTACAAGGTCAGCAAAGCCGCAACCGAATTGACGGGTCAATACTAACGCTCTGACAGGATTGCGGAACTCTCGGTGCAGCCATCTTATCACTGCAAAACTCTGACTTCGTTACCAAATCGGTCGCCAGGAAAGATCCTAAGAATCCTCTTTCTTCCACTTCCGAGATACTGTACAACTCGATATGGCGCTTCCTCGCTCTACGGGAGTACATCGACCCCAAGAGCCATAATCTGACACAATGGGGTAAAGTCCTTGTTTCTATCATCGCTGGCCTAAAGGGCAAGCCAGAGCACGAAGAGGCTGCAGTGATCGCGGTCGAACTGATACGGCTGGGCCTCTTGAACTCCGACATCGATATGTTCTCTATGTACAACGGCGCACCCATGCGTGGTAGCAGTAAGTGGGAAGCCTTTGACCAAGTCCTGCATAGCTGACAGCCGCCTAGCGAACGACAAGGAGTACAATATGCTAGTGTCTCGTGTTGCTGGCTTAGGTACTTTGCACCACCGTCCGATTGGTTTCACCGGACCTCTCAGCCAACATTTGCTCGGTTACAACTCCATCATCAACAAAGTTCGTCAGTCGCTTCGAGATATCATCGAGGTGGCCGCTACACAAATGTTCTGTACTGGTTGCTGCACTAGACATGCTGATATACCAGCCATCGCGATGAAGTTAGTCCCCGAATCACAATGACCCGAGTCTGATAAATTAACGCTCTCTAGGCTTCCGTTCCTTCTGCCCAACAACTGTGCGCTTAGCATAGCAGCCAAGTCTTACCTCGATGAGCTTCTCACTGGCGATGCCGATCCGACCTCCCCAACGACCAAGTCACGTGTTATTCAAACCGCATCAGAACGCTACTTCCCGCAATCACTTAACCTCGCTGGCGATCTCAAGTCCGCATTCTCACTATGGGACGCCATCTGTGCCGGTGTCAAGTCCGCGAATAACTCTACTGTGCCAGACGCGACAAAGCAGGTCTGGGCAGAGGCAGATAAGTGGCTCGCTGAACGACGGTAGAACCGCGAACTCCACCCAGAGCTGTGGCCGTCGGCAAAAGAGGCTTTTGAGGCGAGATACTACCTCATAAGGGCTCAAGAGGAACGCTTTCGCATGGCCAAAGGTGCTCTTAGAGGTGTGGAGACTGGGTACTCCGCATACGAAGATAGACGGCAGGAGATGAGATTTGCGCGTCACCTGCTCAAACGAGTTGAGAAGTTGGAATGTCGCTTCCAAGGGGGACAACGAAGTCATTTCTACCATACTTGAGCTATATTGTACTCCTCAAACCAAAGCTATACCCTAGGTACGGCGTCAAGTACGGGATGTTATCCTTCAGGCCCACGTTGTACACCGGGTACAGCGTACGATTGTAAGGCCCTCACGAACGAATAAAACCGTGAAAAGCAAGCTGTGTACGGTCGTGACCCGAGCAAGAAGTACAAATAGTCTCCAGCTTTGTCTTCACACTAGTACAGAAGACAGCATTGAATGTACTGTATATTTAAGAGGACTGAAATAGAGAAGACTGACAGTTGCAAACAGACTCTGTAGCTTACTAAAGCATGGAACAATGAGATGAAAGATACGTAGAAGTAACATGTATATCTAGTTCATTCGATAACTGTTCTACTATCTACGTACACGTTTATTTTTCTTTCGATAGAGTGGGTCCACAATCTTCAATCGATACCCCTCCTCATCAGTGGGAAAACCTGAAGTCCAACCTCTTCATCCCCTCATCCTTCGTGTTGAAAACATAGTCTTCTTGCTCTTCTTTGGTCATAGCCTTCCACTGCCCATCCCTTACGCGATTTCTCCAAATGTAGAATGCCTTTACAGCATAGAACAAGAAAACATTGTACACACAGATACCCAGCAGTATCCTATTGCCCCTGCGATACAACGGCTGATCGTCATCGCGATAAATATTAGTAGCAATGATATTGCCAGACTGCACAAACATGTTGTAGAAAGCCGCGGAGACGGCGCGTGTACGGACAGAATTCGAGTTCTTCGCGTTCCAACTTACGAGGATGGCGTGGCAGTACGGATAGGACAGTAGACCTGTGAGGAGCGCGTATCTGACCCAGGGATTTGCATCTGCGGGCAGAACGACAAGAGCGACGAGCCAGGGGAAGATCCAGATGTTTGATAGACTGGATATCATGGAGCGTTCTTTGAACTTTTCGGATAGCCAGGTCACGGCGAGGAGTTGGATGGCGTAGAGGAACTGGCTGGGTATGGCGAGTAAGTTGGCTTCGAAGACGGAGAAGCCGAGCTGGCGCAGGATGTATGAGAGGTAGTTTTGCGGCGGGTTAGGTGGGACATAGGCGGTCAGGCCAATGATGTAGAGGGGCCATTGTTCCCAGTCGCATGCTGCTTTCCAGAGGAGTGGGAGACCGACTGCTTGGCGGTTGTTCATGTCGCCTTTGGAGGGGTCGTCGCGGAGGATGCGGTTGACGAGAATGTACTCTTCGTGTGGGGTGAACCAGCCGTTTTTGCCGCGGAACCAGTGTTGCGTTTGGCAGGCGCCAGGGGGCATGAGGCCAAATGAGAGGATGCCGATGGCTAGAGTCATGATGCCTTCGATTAAGAACCTGTTTGTGTTATCAATGGTGCAAGTTGAAGGACAGTGTAAAGGCAACTCACAGATACTGCCAACCTCCCCAGCCATGGAGACCTCGCATCTGCAATATACCTGCTGCAAGCAGCGAGCCGACGATATTGCAAGTGCTCAGCGCAGTCCAGAACCACGCTAACCGGTGCGGAAGTTCAGTGGATTTGTAGAAGTACGTTAGCCAGAGGACGATATCTGGGATGAAGCCGCCCATGAGTAGACCAAGGATGCATCGAATGGCGAAGTAGTGGGCTTTCGTCTTCATGGCGCATTGTGAGGCGCTGACAATGGACCATATACAGATGATAGTAGGGATCCACCTGTCATAAGGTTAGTACTTGAAGCCCGACGAGACGGCGAGTAGGCCAGATGGACTTACCGATCAGCACCCAGCTTCTTGCTAATCAGGCCACTGGGAAGTTCGGCAAAGAGGAAAGAAGCGAGAAAGATCTAGCTTTGCGTCAACGAGAGTTCTGATAGTGACGAACTGTATTAAGCTTACAGTCTGACCATAGTTATAGTCGTTTGTATTCATGCCTGATCCAATTTAGTGATCCACCATATGTTTTCCTCCATCTAGATGAAACGCACCTAGGTCTCTCAGCAAATTGTCTGAGATCGCTCGATTGATATTTCTTCGATTCAACTCCATCGATATGAACATGATCCATGCCCAGAGAGCTATTCGCCAGTCCAGCTACACCGATAGCGTCAGCCCTGATAAATGCCATGAGGTTATCTTCTTACCTTTTTGACTAGACGTTTCTCTTCTTCAGCTTCCCATGTATACGTCGGGTCGAACCGATGACGTCCTTCGTACTCGGCGTCATCGTATATTTGACGCCAGCGCTGAGCCGTTGCCGGGTCGCTGAACGGATGGTCTTCGTGTGAGCCATGATGTGGCGGTGGTGACTTCAAGCCGTGGGACGACCTCGGGTCAGCGGTTTCGGTGATGGGAGCCTGCTTTTCTACTGGTGTAGATGCAGCCATGTCTGCAAGGATAGATGAAAGCGAACTTCTTCTCGTGATTCGTTTTGATCTGGCTTAGACCAATCGGTCGGTACTGATTAACGAATGTACCGAGGGAGTGTTATAAGGGACCGGACATGTCCATGATTAGGAACTGTATCGACAGATGATGCAACCCCGGGTACATGTGACAACATGCGCTAAAATGAAGAACCTTACCGTCTAGACAAGGCTCTGAAAGCCGAGAGACTTGGGTACGAAAGCCATAGATAAGGAATGACGTTCATGCGACAGAAACTCGATAGCAGTGATTGCATGCGAGGAGCTTCACTGACAGTGCATACATATCCAGCCAGCTATATGCTGATAGGTCAGTTAACGATACACTTGAATGCCGCCATTACCCTGCAATCTGAGTCGAGGAGATGGCTTCCGCGGCCACATGTGGAGCCCAATTTGGCGTAGGAAGCACACAGTGTAGCTACAAATCGACCGCATGCGAAATGTCAGTCGCACGATAGCGTATATACCACCATCGTCTTAGATCAGTCGGAGTCTCTGAACATCGATACAACAGCCGTTCATCGGAAGGATACGACATGCGTGCTGGCTGATTCGTCCCGAAAGCCTACCCTTGGCTCCGTGGGCTTAGTATGAACGCAGTCGGATTACCTCGATTGTCATATACAAGGGTCGATATCAGTTTTTTGAGAAAAGGATCCGTCTTTGATCGCCGATGCATCGTAGCGAGGTATGTTGCAAGAATGGTGAAGATGTCGTCAGACACTGCCGGAATAGCCTACGCGAAATTTGCACTTGGCAATCTGAGTACCTTGTAAGTGTAGCGATGTCTTTATTGAGACGGTTGAAGGTTCCTGTACACATGCCAGCGATGTTATCGTGAATGATGCAGCTCGAAAGAGCAAGGGGCTGGGAAGTCGCGGTCGCGTCGCGTTCGGTCCAAACTAATCGAGGACTAGTGTGCCCCTGGAGGAAGGCAAGAACGACGAAGCATCTCTCTGCCATACTAACACTACATCCGCCGTTGCATGCGCGGAAAGGTCGCGACGCGTTATTTCCGGATCGATGCCATTGCCAGCTGTGAATGGGACTCTGCCAAGCAGCACGCCATTCCACCCCCACATGTCGTAGCCTCAACCCCGCAACACCTCGTCGATATCGCGCATCATGGAAGATTGTGGTTGCAGGAAGCGACTACCGCCACTATCATAAGTGTGCCGAGAATGATTGCACCATACTATCCATGCGATGATGCTACGATGCCAATGCACAAGCCGATGAGCTACTGTTCATCAGTCTTTCGATGCAAATGCGCTCAGGGATAGTAGATGTGGCGAACGCGAGTAAGAGATAAGTGTGACATCGCTCTGTCGGAATGCGAAATACCCTGTAGCAGTGCAAATCAGCATCGTTGATCATGGCTACGAACACCTTGACCACCACTGCCATTGAGGACATAGGCATCAAGACGCAGCCTGGATATCCTCGCGAGCCTCTAAAGACCAAAGGCGTTCTGGATACCTTCGAGTCTTTCGACGTTACACCAGTCATCGGCCGCGAATTTGTGGATGTAAGTCTGAAGGAATGGTTGCGCGCGCCAAACTCCGACGATTTGATACGCGACCTGGCAATCACAAGTAAGCGACACTCAATGTTTTCCCAATGACTGAACACTGAGCCTTTGGAAAGTTTCTCAGCGCGGTGTTGTCTACTTCCGCAAGCAGGATGATTTGGATGACGAACTTCAAAAAGAGCTGGCCCAGCGTCTCGGCGAGCTTTCTGGCAAACCAGAAACATCCAAGCTGCATATCCACCCAGTTAGAAACGCGGGAAACCGTCTTGGAGGCAATGACAATGAGATCAGTGTCATTAGCTCAGATTTGGCGAAGCAACTCTTCAAAGAGCGGTCACAGACTGGCAAGCATGGCTGGCACAGCGATATCACGTTTGAGCCGGTACCAAGCGACTATGCAATCCTGAGAATGACGCAGCTACCGAAATCAGGAGGAGGTGAGTGCGGCAAGTAGCCATACTCCCGTTAGTCAGGCTAAGATTGCTCTAGATACTTTGTGGGCATCAGGGTACGACCTTTATGACCGCCTTTCGAAACCGTATCAGAAGTTCTTCGAATCTCTCACCGCAACATACGCCCAACCAGACTTCAATCGAGCGGCCAAAGAAAACAACTTCCCCGTTTACACCGCTGCGCGAGGTGCACCAGAGAACACTGGCGACTCCCTGACCGCTATCCACCCCTGCATCCGCACGAACCCCGTCACGGGATGGAAGTCTCTCTACAGCGTTGGCCACCACGTTCAGCGTATCAATGAGCTGAGCTCAGAGGAATCAGAGCGTACTAAAGCCTGGTTCCTCCAGCTAATCACCGAAAATCACGATCTGCAGATCAGACATAGATGGCAAAACCCAAATGACGTGGCCATCTGGGATAACAGAAGCGTATTGCATACAGCGACGTACGATACCGATGGCCAAGGACCGCGGAAGGGGTATAGAGTAGTCAGCTTGGGTGAGCGGCCATATCTGGATCCACAAAGTACGAGTAGGATGGAAGCGTTGAGGCTCGCGGAGGGACAGTAGCGTGGGATACTTGCAGGTCTCGAACGCGTAGATGTCACAGTTGCCCAAAAAGGGACGCTGCAGCATGCCACAACCAATGAAGAGAAATAAAAAGCCTGTCGTGCAGGCTGCTACCATCACGTGCCCATGCATGTCAGCTTCTGCCTACACTATCGAACGCCCCTACATCTCCAGACACACCATCTTTTCTCGCATTGCTAGGCATCCTCAGTCACGTGATTTATACATCTTGCTGCCTTCCCACTAAATCTGTATATCGTCTCAATCCATCGTCTATATAAGCTCGCATCACTTCCTCATGTTCTTCATACTTACCAGCTAGGGTCGGCGAGCACACGCATTCGCATAGACCGGCTTAGATCAGCTGCATGGCACCATTGTGGAACTGGTCTTGTCTGATGGCTCTTTGTGGGCGGTCTCTGGCATAATTTTTGATGGCTTTTTCATTGGTTCTTCGCATTATGATGAGAGGATCGAGGAAGGAGCGGGTTATAGACGGGAAGGCTTGTGGAGCATTGGCTAGTATTGAAGAGTAGCTCAAATAGATAAGGAGCTGTTCAATATTATGATGTAGGTCAACCTAGATTGAACTCTTTGATCTCGGGTTGTAGTGCGTCCCAAGAATCCTTCAGCACAACACCTAATCCCCGTCTTTCGGCGACGTTTCCAACCCACTTGATCCACATGACATTGTAGAACGATGCTTTCCGATTATCACTCCTTAAAGATACTCCGGTAAAATACTTCTGGTACTCCTCGAAAGAAAAGTCAGGCCATCCATACTCTTCTACTCCCATTTGTTGCGAGGTTTCGGCTTCTGAGATAGCGACAAGCTCACAATCATTACCATCTTCGGGTTCATGGTCCAAGGTCTCGCACGTTATGGTGATATTGCCGATCATCTGCTCATCGTTGCGCAGCATACGGTGTCTGTGGTCGCCAGCCATCGCACGCCCAAAAGTCAGGTGTATGCATGGAGCTCGGCAGCGAAGAACAATAGAAATTGGAACATGTGGCCTTCGCTCGGTTGGGTCTACGGTAGGAAGTGGGAACGGATATCTAGTACTTCGCGGATAGGCAGTGTTCGTGAAGTAGTCGCCTTCTGGGTCGTAATTTCGGCTCCATCCTGTGGGAAGTGTCTCATCAGGGGTTTTCCGAAGAGCTTGATATCGGTAGAAACCATTGAACTGCGAACTACTTCCATCTACCGCGTTCGCCAACCGATACTCTGCCACCGGTTTCAAGGTCGCAATAGCGACCCAATCTGACTCAAGGCCGGTATCACGAAAGATCCTGGGATAAAAGGGATACCAAGCAGACAGGCAGTTTATGGTTCCGTTCTTCCAGCCTGTCCACGACCAACTAGGTTCGCCCTCACGTCTACGTGCGGAATTCTGAGGTCGCCAAAGCAATGCGATATCGAAGAAGAACTTCGGTATGCCGTGGAGTAGACCGTCTGGGAAAGTAGCGTCCATGATATCAGTAGCACCCGCGAATGCTGCTTGAGCGTCTTTCTCGTACTTGAGATCCCGCGAAGAGAAGTTTTCCACAAGCATTCCCCATCGACCGAGGGTCGGTATCTTGGGAATCAAGGACATCATGCCCATTGGGACGCCGAGATGTGGGCGCTCTGCTGGCCATTTAGTGTCTTCCATCCTCAAAGACGTGATGCTTTCGCGATCGTGGCTGTCTTGCGTGGACGTGATCTTGTCAACGCCCTCGCGCCATTCACAGCGTCCACATACCCACGACACAGTATTTCTGAAAACAAGGAGACGGCGCGAGAACAGCGATTCTTGAAACGTCCAGCCCCTAGTTGCCCATTTCGAACCTCTTGGATATGCATCCCATCGGCGGGAAAACGAACTGGGATTAGGAGTTCGGTTCGTCGAGGGACCCCCAATACCCCTCAAACCGTGTCCTGCATCCTCGCCACCCGCTGCAACGATCGTGAACTCTGCGCTTGCGTAGATACGGGCCATAGCCCGCAACGTAATGTCCATCTTCTCTGAACCGGCATCTTGAACAACGGATAGACAATCCACCCACAGGTACTTCTCGCCTAGAGCCTTGACTAGATGAATGGCATCCCGAATTGTGTCAGGAAGCACTGCATTGTTCGATGGCTCGTACAAAGCTCCTCGCTGCAGCAGAGTTTCGATGTTGTTCGTCGTCGTCTTGAACATCGGCGCATTGCCCCACACATACGAAAGGGCGACATACTTGATTGGCGACGAAGTGGGTAGAATGGTAAGCGAGCCACTAATCACGTCGACCAGCATGAGCTGATCGATGCTCTTTGCCAAGGCGTTGGAGTAGTCGTCGTTGCAGCAAGCGCCGTGTGTTGCACGACAAGCTTGACGCCAACGTTGAATGTGCTGGAGATCGACGGTAGGCGTGATTGGGATAGAAGATCTTTCGGCACGAGGAGGATCAATGTTGAGGAGCCCCGATGATAATTGCGGGATACGAGCTGGCGGTGGGGTTGACCGGTCGCCGGTAAACGACTGTTCACCGCGACCAAGATCGGATGACATTCGGGAGACAATGAAGATTCGAAGGACACAGAGAACTATACTTTCGTAGTCTTTCGTGATGACGTAGTTAGGGCAAGATTGAGTTTTGAGCTCTCAAAGTCAAACAGAAGCGGGGTTTGTGACGTGGACAATTTGCGGCTGAACAGTATTCAGCTGCCTTACGTGAGAACGCACATGGGTATATTGATGATTCGCTGTCATAACTCGAACCTTGAGTTGGTCGGGGAGCATTGACGCATTCTGAATATCCCGCTTTGTTGGCCACTGGTATGCGTGTATAAACACCCAGTCGTAAGCAATAGCGGATACGGCTCGTACTGTATGATGCAAGATGTACTGTGCTTGCTATGCGGCCGAGCAATTCCAAGACTCTCACGTGGGGGCCGCAAATGAATGTATCTTTAGTTCGCTGCCTCAAGCAGAGGAGGCCCAGTTCTCGAGAAAGCCGGGTGCCGACAATGGAATTGGGATTGCCTATATTGTCCGCCAGCGGCATGCGTGCCGAAGACCTCGTTCTCAAGTAACGGTGTTTGCGACTTGAACCGGAGAGTATACTTGCTACTACTCTAGAAAAAGTCGAACCCGTTCCACCAGATGTATCCAAGAACAGCAGCCACGCTTGTGACCGCAAACGGCAGACTCATCTCCACAACGCTCCAGATCCAGAGCGTACCAACTGGAGGAGCTGACTTCATGACGTAGAAGTAGCCATGCTTGTTGCCCGAGTATATCAGGTAGCACCCCGCCACGACAGAGCCTCCAAAGAAGGTAGCGTCTCTAAGTATGGGGAATCGGTACGAAAAGTCGACGTGGGTGAGGTAGACCGCTAGGATGAATATGGGCCACGCTGTAGAAGCGCGCCACAGGATCTCGTTCCAGAGTATGTCCTCCCGGTATTGGCTGTATACGAGGACGTCGAGGGTGAGGTGGAGGACTGCCATCGTGATGGAGTAGAGGACGGCGTCCCCGAGGGGTCCGATCGGAGGAACGTCGTCGGGCGATGCAGGTGTAGAGGCTACTGGTACTTTAACGACTCGTGTTCTACCGTTCATCTTGTCTAGCTCTCGCTGTCTCTCTTCGGCCAAGTCAAAAAGTGTCTTGCCCGTTGGCTTGGAGAAGTCTGGATGCTTCAGGATCATTTCGACGCCGTCTTCATCGATCTCGTTGGTGGGCTGGAAGCCGCTTCCCTTGCCATTCGCGCTTGTCTTGGACTCCTTGGCACGTCGCTCTTTCCTGTTGCCGGTAGACATGGTGATGTGTGTGTATCTGGGGAGTGTGGTGTTAGGGTCGAGACATGTCGCGTGCGGCTCTAAGGAATCTCGAAGATGACGTGGGTCAAAGCTCGTTCCAGAACCCCGATGGCTTCATGCGCACGCGCTACCTCTCCTGACGCAGGTACATAGCAGCAATACAGTAGCAAACACCAAATCGAACATACTCCTTATATGCGCTTGCTGACCATGAATTGGACTGTGTGGGCATCGGTGCCTGTCCTCATCTTTGTTTTCTGGATGTACACCAGCACCCTCGGCGCATCTTTCCCCACATTACAAAACAAACGCATCCTACTGCTGATCGCGCATCCTGACGATGAGGCCATGTTTTTTGCGCCGACTTTACTGGCATTGACGCGTCCGGAACGCGGAAATCACGTCAAGATATTGTGCCTCAGTAGCGGTATGGCCCTCACACATCCCCAGTGCTCTCAGAGGCAATCACTCATCTCATTCGTGCAACAGGCGATGCCGATGGCCTTGGCGAAATCCGCAAGAAGGAGCTGGTCAAGAGTGGGCTACAGCTGGGAATCGGAAGCAAGGACGACATTCTCGTGGTGGAAGACAAGTACGCATCGCTCATGCAAGTCCGAACGCAGCATACTGACTATGCACCAGGAACTTCCCCGATTCCATGACAGTGACATGGCACCCTCGTCTAATCTCCAACCTACTCACCACCGCCTTCGCCCCGAACATGACCTCAATCTCTTCCAAGGAGGCACCGCAGGCGACTGTCGACACTATAATCACCTTTGACGCACACGGCGTCTCCGGCCATCCCAATCACAAGTCGCTCCACGACGGAGCGCATACCTTCTTGAAGGCGCTCATGCACCGACACAGCGGGTGGGAGTGCCCTGTCAAGCTGTACACCCTCACTACCACCTCCATATTCCGTAAATATCTTAGCTTGTTGGACGCACCAGCTACAATTATTGGCGCAATCCTCCGCAAGAAAGAGCTCGGAGGCTTTCCGACTCCACTCCTGTTCGTCAGCTCACCGGTCGGTTACAGGACTGCTCAGAAAGCCATGACCACGGCACACGAAAGCCAAATGCGCTGGTTTCGTTGGGGCTGGATCTCCCTGTCGCGCTACATGGTTCTCAACGATTTGAAGAAGGAATAGTCGCAGTGGTGTCGGGAGGCGCACCGGGAATCTATTGTAGCCATCGAGACCTTCTAGTCTGAACTCTAGTAGGCCCATGCTGAGGCGATAATGTGCTACATATGCGGTGTGGCTGACAAACGGGCAAGAACACCCCATCGCAATTTCCGGACCCTGAAGTCGTGTAACATACCAAGGGAGGCAACTGGCGGAACACGGCAACACTGCCGCGGACAATGGGCTCCACCATTGGTCGTGCCTGAGGAACCTAGGGATGCGCGGGTTTGGAGGTCCGTGTGACTTTGGCATTACACAAGAGGCGTATAATTGTGCTCACAGCCTGCTCACTCTTGCAATCCTCATAGACTACGAGTGCATTGCACGTCCTCTCGACAAAAAGCAGAGACTGCGACTTGTTTTCACTCTTCGCGTTCTGCATACTTCGCGCAACAGGCAGCAAAGGGCGCCGGGGAAGAGATCCGCAACCACTTGGAAGGCATCAATCGTAAGCTGGACGCCGATCTTCACATAACACCAACTGACGCGCTGGTCTTAGACAAAGCGACATCGAGTGCCCGTTCGACGCGCACAGCGTGTGCACGCCATGTCTTCTCCGCCCCTCCTTCGCCTGTCTGTTGAGCTTCATCTGGAAATAATCAGTCTCCTTGACCTGAGCAACAAAGCCAACTTGGCTTTCACAACTCGCTATTTCAGATCGGTCATACCCACACCGACGCATGCCGAGTTTCTGGCCGCCGAAGGAACTACTTGGGCCAAGACTAAACAACTATATACTTGCAAAGGCTGCGTCCGCTTTCACCACTGGAAAGCCTTTGCCGACGATATGAGAAAAGGCAAATGGTGTCGCAGTGGTATTTTGGCCCACACAAGATTTTGTCTCAAATGCGGGGTAAGCGATGCGCTGTACGTCCCAGGAACACTACTCACAATCTGCAATCGAGTTCACGTGCTCTGCATTCTCTGCGGAGCTCTTAAAGATCAAGTTGGCGACCGTCGTGGTAGGTGCGCTGGTTGTTCCCCAGGCCCGTCACGCAACTACAACTGTGACTACTTCAACAACGACGATGACGATGGCTGGAGGCAAGAACCCACATCTGACCGAAACCACCTACAAGAGATGTACGACTGGCCTGAAGAGGGACGCCTCTCAACGTACTAAGACCGAGAGTGTTGTCAACGGCTGTGGGTAGGCAGTATGTCGTTGGTCGCAGCCGGAAGCAATGCTACCTTCGCGTACCAAGCTGGAGCATTTCACGGCCACGATCTCATCAGATATGAGAGTGCGACATCTTGTATAGACTACGGTTGCTGGTATTCCGGCGTTGTCCTCCTGTTCACGTTTGCCGCTGTGTTCACCAATAGACCGTTCGCAGACGTTCCTCACTCCACCACGTCATGGCTGCTGTCAATATTCACAAATGCTCTACCATTCATAAGGTGCCCAACTTATGGTCCAGATCGAGACTTTCACAGTTCACTGATCTCTGACGTTCGAGCGATTTGGAAGTAACGAAAGCTCTCAAATCACACCTGCGCTTGCTCTTAACCTGCGCTTCGCTATCCAGATATCCCATAACCATAGCCTCAATTTACTGAAAATGCCGAACCCAGCGAAACCCATTTCTGAACCAGACTCACCGATAGTCCCACCTGAGCGACCAAGGACCCTCAAGCGACGCATTTCTTCCAGCTTCAATACAATATTGGCAGCCCTTCCCATACGAAGATCAAGCCCACATATCAGTTCAGCTCTACGATCGTGCACGGCACTCGGAGAAGAGATCATAATACAGCGAGGCGTTGCTGGCGCTGAACAGCAGGCTCCTCAACCCCCTCCAGTCATTCGACTGCAGGTACCATCGCTGTCCGAAACCAGCCAGCCCTGTCCATATGATGCAAGTGAATACCATACCTTCCCCAGTGTGGAACGTCGACGCTGCGATTTCTGTGGCATGCGGCCACCGAAGTCGCCCTCTAGCGAACCATGCAATGAATGTCAGTCCCAAAGCGCACTTTCGCACATGAAATCAGCCTTCAGACGGAAGCCGGGTCGTAAGGTCAATGAGAAACCAGCAGTACGAGAATCTCGTCCACAGCACAGTCCTTCATCCGAAGAATGTCCGCGTATCGTCCCGCCAGAAATCGCGGCGAAAAGGATAGGCAACCCACCGCGGAGAGCAGCACTGCCTGTGCCGCGACCCGGTGCTATCAACCCGGCGCTACAGCAGAGAAGTGCTACCAGGAGTGAAGATATTCCCCGGCGATCGCAAAGCGCTCTTGAGCATAACGAAGTGAGGCCAATCAGTCCCAAACTACATTATCATCGTTACTTACGCAACTCAAAGGACTACCCATACGTTCGCGAAAGTGAAGTATCGCAGCACTTGAATGCCATACGTGCCGGAGCCCCAAGTCCGCTAATCGATTTCGCCCGCGCAGCTCGCCGCAAGAAAACTTCGGATCCGACTACAGATTTCTCCGAGACGGTCTTCTATGGCCAGAAATTTTCAGCCGCCTTCACTAACAGTGCAGAGCAACGCCAGTTGTCTCGGCCGTCGCGTAGCAATCTAATCGTTGAGGGCTATCTCGAAACCGGTGGACATGTTGTTGTTGAACGACCGCGTCCTGAGCAGCAAGCCAGCATCGATGCACAGCTGTATCATAGTAATGTCTATCCTAGACGCTCCCCAGAGCAATCAGGGCGGCAATCGCGGGCCTCGAGACGGTCAGCTGATAGTCGCCGTCGCACGAGGCGTAGAGAGTCTGAAGATGACTTCAAGACAAATGACCAGCTACCGGATTTTCAAGAAGGTCCTGCTTACGATGGAATGCCAAGGTTGCGAGGTGGTAGTGGAGGAGACGAAAAAATCCATACTCGTAGCTGTGGTCTGACGATGAAGCAACTGCTACTTACTTGTCACAGGCCTGGTCATGGTTCTAGTACTGATTCAGGTAGCGATGATTACTTGCCGCCAGCGAGGACTCCCAACATCGCCGAAGTTGCACGCGCTTTGCAGAGGGCACACGGTACTTCTCGCCTTCCGAAAGGTATCTCAAGACGCGATGGATGTCAAGAGACACCACGAACGGGCAGATCCACATCTGGCGGAGGAGATGCTACTAATTTACCAACCTCGCGGACAGCAAGTTTTGCCGCTGCGTACCCGCAGCCACGTTCGGTCTTCTCGTATCTACCATTGTTCGGTCTCGCCTCGATATTTGCTCGCCTCACAGGCCCTTCTATCGATACTCCCGCTGTCTCTGCGAGTCACACCATACAACCAGCCACACTCACTCCAACCGTCAGCCTTAGAGGCGGCGCCGGTTCGCCTTATGCTCTACGAGATCACCAGCGTGTTCCGTCTACGCTTTTCTGGCTCGCTGGTGGAAAGGGTAAACCGATCACAACTGCTAGCTGGAAGAGTCAGAAGCCCCAAAGGAGAATGGGCGGAGTGTTTGGAATGTCTCTTCACGGGCTAGATGCCGGCACCGAGTATGGACCAAGGAAAAGTACGGGATCTAGCAGCAGCAGTTCTGAGCTTCCGCGACATGTTGCAGTCGCAGTCGCCGTCGCCGCCGAAGCAAGCAAGCCTGCAGCGAAAGAGAAGGCAGAGAGCGTGAAGTCAGGCAGGTCTCATTCTTCTAGATCATCCTCTTCATCAAGAAGTAGCACAAAGAGCCACAGCAGTCATTCTTTGACTTCCCATAGATCCACTGCCGCAGGTAGCGAGGCACACAGAGAGCTGCCCTTAGACCCGGTGCCGGAAGAAGCTGCCGCTGCACCAGCGGCAGATGCTTCTCCAGCTAACCCTGCCGCTGCTGAGGGTCCGCCAATACAAGTACCGAGGGAAGAAGCTCCTCCCGCCGATGATGCGCAACGAGAGCTTGTGGATGATGGTGCTCAGGGTGCTGCACCCGCTCCGAATGAGAATGAGGATGAGCACGGGGAGCAGGCGGCAGCAGAAGCAGAGGGAGGGGCTCAGAAGTAAACTGAAAGAGTGCTAAAGACATGGGGAGATAGGGAGATGGGTACCGTATCATAGTGTAACCGTGCTGACATCGAACGAACTCTTCATGCTTGCGGTACTTCTTCCGACTGCACTTATGTTTTTCAATGCTACCCAAAACACTCGCACCTAATCTTCCAACCTCTATATCGTACAAGATATCTACCCCACCATCTAACTCATCAGCCCATGCACCTGCTCTCCGCTCAAAGTTGCCTTAGCAGCAGGTCTCTTCCCAGCCGCCTTCTTAGACGTAGGCGCACTCGTCCTCCTTCCACCTGCCGAAGGCCTACTAGCACCCGCACTTCCACCACCCCTCTGCGCCTCAACAGCAGCCTCGTGTTCAATCTTACTGACCGCCCTTGTAATCGCCATACTATAACCACCAATCCACTCACTCCAACTCTGCTTTCCATCGCTGTTGTCCACGGCAACTTCCATAGTCGAGCTCATGCTTCTCTTTGGCTTCGGCGTGGTTGCAGAGGAAGATTTCGAAGCGGGGACTTTGGTAGCTCTGCTGCTGGACTGCTGTTGTGGTGAAGAGGCGTTGTTCTCGGTAGCGCGTACAGCAGCGGCCGCGCGTCGTTGCTCGAGGAAAGAACGCGCTACATTCTGGGCAGCGGAGACACCTGATTTGATCGTTTTGACGTCTTCCAGGTTGACGTTGGCGGGGATTGGGATGCGGTAGCTTCCGGATAGGGTGACTTGTCTCTCTGTACCTGATCTTGCTCCGGGTGCGTCCCTGTCGATCTCCTCGACGTATTCCGTTCCTCGACTTGTGGCGCCTTTGCTGCGAGGATTGAAGTGTTCTAGATCTTGTCGTGCTACCTCCAATTCGCCCTCGAGACGCACGAGCTCTTCGTCTGCTTCCTCCTCTTCGTCGTCGGCGATTTCATGGACCCGGGAATCGCTCTCATTGGCCGTTGTACTAAGCGTGGGAACCTGCGCAGTAGACGAGGCTTTTCGCCCTTTTCCTCGTCGGCGAGGGGAGCGGCCAGGTCGTGAATCGGGAATCGCACCGGCTTTGTAGAGCTCTTCTACCTTGGCTTCTAAGCCTCTGACACGAGACTTGAGCGCTTCGAGTTCGGAGGGCGATGGTACATCTGCCGTGGCTTTACTTGTGGCCGTAGGCTTTGCTGCATCTGTAGATGTTGATGTGGGCTCCTTGTTCAGCTTCCTGGGTTTCTTTTTCGGTGTCTTCGCTGCCGGTGCGGTAACGTCATCTGTGCTTGGTGTTGCTGCAGCCTTTTTTGCTGAGGATGCTGAAGCCTTTGTAGCGGGCTCTTTTGGCAAGACAACTCCGCCTGCGGAGCCTGCTCTTCCCTGTTCAGTCTGGCTTGGAGTAGCAGCCTTCCTGGATCGTGCCTGCTTGGCTGGCGTTGCAGGTGTCGCATTGGGTCCCGGTGATGATGGCTTCGACGCCATTGTGTAAAGATATCCCCTCTATCTGAGCCCAGGAATGCTATGCGCCAAACCCCTAACAACGCGCGTCGTGTCTATGGTACGCTTCCGCTTGGTTTGTATAATGACGAATTGGGGCAACACCCATTGACGTGTCGATTTCCTAGATCAACTAATTGGAATGAAACACTATATGCATCGCAAGACACGAAAAGGAAAGTGATAGCGTAGGCGATCGCCGCCAAAGCAAGATATCGAAGTTGGACACAGGCCGAGCACATCTGACGTATTGTGGCGCACGTACCGGGATGCTGCGTCGTGAACCCTGTTCGCGGCACGTCAACGGCGATCGACTAGACGTTAGCATCGCTGCACCACATGCAAGGGAAAGGACCAGACATTTTTAGCGGGTTTCTTCCTCCTAGCCTGCTACAACGGGCGTAGTCGAAGCGGTATATCACTGCATCGACAACCCAGAAGCCTACATTACCCTGGGGTCCATCAGGTCTTCATCATGGTGTCTTGTTGTAGACTGCAGCATCATGTAACACAAGATCAACTGACAAAGGCCAAGAACTCGCAGCCTTCAGGCAAGTCTCCAAACGGCCACTTTATCCCATCCTCCTTGATGACATTCAGCGCAGCCAGGGGTTCAGCGTGATCAACCCAGAATGCAGTGTCAGCGCAGCAGACAGCACCCGTCTGATCACCCTGATCACCCTGATCAAACAAGGAACCCGTGGGTCTAGCCATCTTGACGTAAGGAACTGGGGATGACTTCATAATGGCGGGTACAAGCTCTTTGATCCCGCTCAGATCCACCTTCTCGATCCCATGTCCGAAGGCTCGCAGAGCAGCACGGATAGTAGCAGGATGGGAAGAGAGGATTCCGAAACTACAGTCGTGCTCGTTTTCGCGCAAATGAGACAAGATCTGCAAGGTTCAGTGAATGCTGGCTAATGTCAAAACTTCGTGTGAAGACAAACCTTTGTAGCCAGTCCGTTGCGCCTGAAATCCCGACTAACACATAGTTGAGTGATCCAGCCAATTTTGCGACCCTCATAGTCCCAGAAAGTTGCAAAGGCGTGTCCAGCAAGTTTGCCGTCGACCGTAGCGCGCACCAGAACGCTGTCAGTTCCCGGAGCAAGGGACTGCTCACGAAGACGGTTCTTTGAAATCTTCACAGGGCGTCCTACAAGGGCATTAGTATTGCATTCATTAGAGAGAGAAAACAATGTACATACCCGGCTTGCAGAAGTTACCAAATGTGCCCATTTTCTCTTCAGCAAGAGGACCCCAGATCCCGTAGTCAGAGGAAAAGAGCTCAGCCGCTTGAGCGATCATCTCTTCCGAAACATCATGGCCCTGAATCTTCTCGACGACAATAGTGCCAGACATAATGTAGATGATGTTTTGTTTTCCAACTTTGAATACTGTATTTGTGACAGGGAAAGATGACGACCAAAGAACAGATTTCATAGCCCCAAAGCGAACCGTGGTCTGCACGCCTGAACCCTTGACAACGACCCACCCCTGTCAGACCCTCACACGAACTCCACATACACATCACAGTAATGAACCGCATAATCGAACACGTGCGTCAAGAATTGGAGTGTAGATACTTTCGAATCTTGTTGCAGCTAAATACATGCCAGTGCATACCATCCCTCTAGTTCCCTAACACAGATCCATCAAAGAGAGAGCTTGGCTGGGCCACAACAACAGACACACTGATGGCGAGAGGAGATGATCGAAAATATGGCATATCCTATATTTACCGGATGTGGAAGGTCTAGGAGACGACCAATACTTTTGGAAACGAGCAGCGCCAAGGAACGGCATCGTAAGGGGGCATGCAGAAAGAAGCTCGTAAAACGTCCCAAGTCCAGCCACGGACGCCTTGCAAATCGCGCTCGGATGAACAGGGCTGTCGAAAGGACGATGATTGTGCAGTGATGCAACAATATGGGAAAACCGCCGAACAAAAACAGCTGTGATAAACAGCAAAGCCAGAAACACAAAGGACGCCACCACGCCGTTGGATATGCGTTGCGTTCATCCCAGATACAGCATCGGGGCTAGTCTCAATATTGATACGTCCACCTAAGACGCGATGGCGCGGGCCGGGGCACCTCCGCCTCCTCGGCGGTTGTTCTTAACGTTCTTGGTGGCCTTGGTGACAGTGCTCCAGCCATCGTCGTCCATGGCCTCGGTAGTAGTGCCTTCAGGTGCAGGAGCTGTGCTGGACTTCCGCCTCCATGAGCCTTGCTCAGCCTTCGGTGGGTCGCGAGTGACTTCTTGTGGCTTAACGTCCTTGTCGTGTACAATTTCTCCCTCGGCATCCTCATCCTGGCCGGCAGAGTTACCCTCGTCCACCCGTTGGAGGATCTCGAAGTTGGACTTGGGCTTCTCCTCGCCATCATTCTCCTCCTTCTTTGTCGGCGTTGGCTGTGCTGAGTCCTTGGGCGCTGGCTTCTCCGCGGCTTCCTTGGCCTTCTTCTCCTCGCGCGCCTTGTCATCGGCCTCCTTCTTCTGGCGCAAAGCAAGTTGCCTCTTCTCCTCGATCTCTTTCTCACGAGCAGCGGTGTCGATGGGTCGGGCGGCACCGAATGGGTTGGGCTTGTCCGAAGGAGTGGACGCGTCTTGAGCTGGTTGAGCCTCAGAGACGGTTCGCTTGGCCAGGTTCAAGCGAGGGCGGCCGGCGGGTGCAGCGGCTTGCGGTGCCGGTGATGATGGCGTGCTAGCGTCGGGTGTGGATGTTGGCGACTTGATAGGCGCATCGGGGCGCATCTTGGATCGCCACTGGTTGTCATTGTCTGCCGCAGTAGGCTGCCTCTCAAATTGCGGTCGCTCCTGGAACTCACGGCGGGGCCCACGAGAGCCCTCAGTGCCTTGACCCTCGCCCCAGGCGGGGGACTGTCGGCGGCCCTCGCGGGGACCTCCTTCGAAGCCACCTCGAGAGCGGCCGCCTTCGCCGGGGGGAGGTGCAGCGGATGGAGAAAGGGGTCCTCGGCGCTCCCAGTTGCCAAAGTCGCGGGGCTTTCCGTCGCTCTCGAATGGAGGTGGGCGGCGACGCTCACCACGCTCGCTGCCGGCGTCAGATCCTGCGTCGAAAGCGCGGTCACGGCCCGAGCCGAAGCCGCCGCGGCCGGAGCTGCTGCGCTGGCCAGGTAGATCAGGGAGGGGTCCCTTTCGGGTCCAGTCTGTGATGACGCGGGCTTCTTCGCGGTCCTTGGCTGTGACTTGTCAGTAATTGTTTGAGTGCATCCTGTAGACACATGACGTACGGGGTTCAGCAACGCTGACACGGATATTCCTGCCCTGGAAAGATGTGCCAGACAGGTCGAGCGCCTTCTTTAGTCCATCAACACTGCCGAATTCGACGTAGCCGAAACCCTTGGGCTTTCGGTCCAGTTTGTCCTCGACGATGCGCACGTTGGTCACCTCGCAGTCGGCGAAGAAGTCGGTCACGTCGCCCTCGGTGGCATCGAAGGAGAGGTTGCCCAGGTGGGCGGTGTACGGGGGCTTGGAGGGCATGGGAAGCGCCTCGCGAGTTGCGAATCCACGGTCGGCTGGGGAGTTGTTAGAATATGCGAATGCGTGTGAGTATGCTCTCCTCACCAAAGCTGCCAGCGCGGTCAGAAGCGAAGCCGCCGCCGCCAGAGCCAAAGGTAGGCCTGTCGCCTCCATAGCCAGAGCTTCTACCGGCACCTAAAAATGTGTCAGTCTTCCGTCGTGTGCATGTTCGCGCTGCGACAGTTGGTGGGGTGTATTACCGGCTCCTGCAAACGTTAGTACACCAGGCCACTTCCTAGGGAGAATGCGTGTCACTCACCAGGCATTGGCGCGTCCTCCATTTCGTCGGCCCATGATCCTAGTGCTGCTGCATGTCAGTCGTCTGCGCGCTCGGGGGCAGGTAGGCGGGGCGTACATTGGTCATTTAGGAATTCTCCCAGGCCCATGGTCTGTTGCTTCTTCTTGGGCGCTACAACACATCGTCAGCCATGGCTTCTTGTTTTGGGCGCGGTACAGAGCGGGGCAAAAAAGCCGGCTCGAGTGACGGCTGCAATTTGCGTGCGCACCACGGCGACGTACCCATGATTGCGGTTTGGCAGACTGTGCGCGAGTGGATTCGGCGCGCTGTCTGATTCGGGTCTGGAGAGCGGTCTCTTGCTCTCGGGTGTGGTCTTGGTGGTTGCGGGGTCTGTGGTTGAAGCGTGTGTGGGGTGAGTTCTTGAGACTTTCCCGAACGGAAATCTTAAGCTCAGGCTGTGCGTTCGTTGGGCCTCGCTTAGTCAGCGCCTTTGCTTTTCCAACGGCGGCGAACCTTGCCTTGTCATTACCCGAATCTGGTCCACGACCTTCAGCCCCCATGAAAGAGCGATGAAAGCCAAACATGACCCCGAACAGGTCACGCAGCCCCTCGAGGTTGCCCGGCAGGCACTCTATATTGGTGGAGCCTCAGGTACGCACATAGTCCTTTCACCACTCCACGTAGTCTCGCTTCATCGTAGTCGTGCGCTTGCATTTCACTTCTGCATAATCGTCATCTTGTCAGCTTTTTCTCACCTCATGAATTTTGCCTAACCTGGTCCAGCCGTTCCTGGTACCGTGATTGGTGCCTTCTACGGTACTATCCGCACGCAAACTCCGGTTCTCTTCTCCATTGTATCAGGAGCGCAATGGTTCGCCATTGGCAGCACGTTCTGGGGCATCCGCACGTCAGTCCTCAACCACGCTGGCTTACTCAACTGGTGGAACCTCACTCGCGGTGCGCCCGTCTATCCTCGCACCGACCTCAACCCAACCACGTCTGACAAGGTTCGCGCGTCAGCCCTTGCTGGTGGACTGACTGGATTCAATCTCGGCCTCCTCTTTCGCGGCCCTCGAAATGTCATTCCAGGTACCATCATGTTCACTCTGTTCGGCTGGGCAGGACAACATGGGTACAATTACCTCGACGCCAAAAACTCCAGCGAAATCCAGGAACGAGCGAGAGGTGAAGCCAAGCCCAAGGAGAACTTTATGCAAAAGATTGCGAAGAGCAAGTGGAGTCCTATGCAAGTCTTGACCGATGACGACTACGAGAACATGATGCAGGAAAAGCTTCTTCGGGTGGAGGCCCAGATCGCGGTAATTGACGACAAGATTGATGCATTGAAGAAGCAAGCGTTCGAGTTGGAGACGCAGCGGAAGATGAAGGAAATGCAAGAGCGGGAACAAACTACCAAGTGAGAGGATGTCTTTCTAGCCATGCATGTCGTAAACGTGACACCTGGAATGCGTTGTGTAAGATATATTTCATTTCTCTTTCTTGGTGAATTCCTATAATCGTTCTTTCCCATTGCGCAACTGGTGATCTTGTCCGTTGTTATCATCATTTCACCACATACTCGTCTCAACCATCGTCCCACTTCTTCTCTTAACCCTTGTTGCCACATATACATATGCGCTTGACCATCTCATTCCGCTCCTTCATTATGCGAAGTCAATGTCTTTAAGTTGCGGCTCGAGTATGGAAGTACATCACAGCTCGAGGTGACGCCAAAAGTAAGTCCATACATGTCAAAGGCCTCATAGCTAACGTTTGGTACCTCCGCAGTAACTACGCATTACCATTACTCTTTGGAACCACGACGTAGCCTCCGCCCTTTGCTCGAGACTCCGCAGTAGTGATAGACCTTCGCTCTGGAAAACGGTCATCGAGCACTGCGAGCGTCTCCTCCAAGCTCGTCATCACTCTCACCACCATCGCTCTCGCTTCCCGCCGGCGCCCCGACCCTCCGCCATCGCACAACAAACACCCAAAATGCAAACGCGCACGCCCGCGCACGCAGCGCTCTTACCAGGCACCCGCGCACTCGCCTCCTAGGCCGCCTTCACTCTACCTCAGGTCCCACCCCACACTCCACACCATCTCCCCCAATATATAGCACTTAAATCCGTAATCTTCCATCAACAAGCCGCCTTGGCTGAAGTTCGAGAGGAACGACCAAAGACAGGAGCCCGCAACCACAATATTAACGGCTTCCGAATGGTTAATCGGTCCAGACCCAACTCACCCAAGGTGCCTTGTTCGATTCCCTAGTCTGCCTTTAGGAACATGTGGACCCTTGAAGGATACAACAGACAACAATGTCCAGAAACGAAAAATCAGCAATGGTTAGACGTCGTCTTCTATCTTCGGATAGAAGATGCTTTTTTGCTCTTTTTTGCAACATTGTTTTTACTATGTTCTACTTTCTGCTCTACTTGTATAATTCTCCAATAGGTAAGGCGTCTAGTATTCTCTATATACATTTGCGTTGCACAAAAGCTAGAGAAAGAAAGAGATGTGTAAGATAGCTAACAAAGACTTGCTCTATAGAGACAGCAATTTGTAAGAGACTTGAGATTAATTCAGAGAAGCTTTACTTTTGGATTCACTCTTCGCAGAATGTGCACATGGCTAACGCGACATACTCTACTGCTTGACGTCAATTGGCTTACCGCCCTGCTCTCCACTCTTCAAACAACTCTCTAAGATCTCCAGATCTTTCAACGCCTCCTCAGGGCTCTGCATCTCGTTCCTCTTTCCTTGCTCTAGACTCTTTGCCCAAGCCTTAATCTCCTGGTTCACGCCGTTGCCCTCATCTGGAAACTCCTTTGTCTCTGGGTCTTTGCCATCCTTGGTGATGGTGACCTTGCCGCGCGCGACGTGTACTGAGCCCTTCTCACACGCAACGAGGTACTCAGAGCCAGTGTCGGTGGTACCAAAGCAAATGGACAGAGTACCAGAAGCATCGTTGTCCAGCTGCATGGTGGCGTTGAGTGTGTCGACAGGCGGAAGGTGCTCCTGAAGCTGTGCAGTGAATGCGCTGACCTTCTTGATCTTTCGGCCGCCACCTTGTAGCAGAAGACGCGTCGCCGCTACGAAGTGCACGCCGCCGTCAAGCACGAAGCCGCCCTGGTGATCCGGCTTCTTGCGCCATTCCGTCTCGTAGTACTTGCTGCCTGCCGACACCATGGCAGCAACACGTACACGGAAAGTAAGAACGCGGCCCAGGGAGGCAACTTGCTCGGAACCCCAAACGTAGGAGTCGATGAAGCGGAAGTTCTCGGCTACGGTGTAGACTGCAGAGGTGTTGGAGGAGTCTTGTGTCCATGAGAGCAGTTCGCGTGCGGTCGCTAGATCTTTCGCGATGGGCTTCTCCGCAAAAACATGTTTGCCAGCTGCGAGCGCTTTCTTGATGTAGTCAGGTTGCGCGAGGATCGGTAGTCTGAGTTGCGATATGTTAGCAACTCATGCTCTTCACTTTGTCAAGCAGTATACGTACGCAATGACTACGCCCTTCACATCATCCCTTTTCAGTAGGTCTTCGAACTTCTTGCCATCCTGGTCGTCGCTGTAGAGTTCGACGTCGGACAGCTTCTCAGATAGAGCTTTTGCCGATTTGAGTGATCGCGAGTAGACTGCTTTTAGGCTCAATGACGGGGTGTCTTGAATGGCGGGCAAGTGTTCTTCTTTGGCGAAGATGCCGCTTCCGATGATAGCTACGCCGATAGACATCTTGATGAATATTCCGCAAGTTGATGGCACAGGAGTTCCTGGAAGATCTTGTACAGCTCACTTCCCTTGAGATATGTAGTCCCAGTAACGGCTGTACTGCGGCTAAATGGCGATTGTAGTGGAGGAAATAGTAGTTTCTTCCAATAGCATCTACGCCATGACCCGTCGCGGGGTACATGTCGCTGCCCCACGATGGCGATGACGTCGGGCACCATACCGAAATTGGTCAAGGGCGATCAGCTCCACGGGTTGCCGACTTTGTCGCAGTCGGCCTTCCATCAACATCGACATCGCACAACGCCCATCGCACATCTATTAAGCTTCCTGTCCGGCATGATCGACGCGACTTTCATGCATACCATGTCGCGCATTGGACACGCGATCATCACCCGTCTTGTCTTCGGCAGTTGAAGCGAAACGTGAAGAGCGCTCTACATTCGCGCATGAACGCGTATGCTATGCTGACAACAGTCACAGAAGGCAGCCTGGATTACTGAGAGTCGTCGCAATGCTTACAGAAGATGTGCGCATTCGCACCCAACGCGCAACATGCCAACGATCGTATCATCTGTTCGAGGGTCAGGCACCACACGCGCCATCGGATCTACCTGTCTACCTCCACCTCCCGATAACATAAAACGGCCTCAACAAGACAGCACTGTGGCGCACCATGTCATCACATCACCGCGTGGATATGCTTGTGATGGTGTCTTGGCAGATGTCAATGTCCAAAGCAACTGGTAGTGGCTGAGACGCGTCCACAACCAACTATCGCCGGCTGCATCGATAGATATGCTGCCAGTCAGGCATGATTTCCGTGTATTTTCGGACACTGGGGTTCTCTATGACCGCGGATTTTGCTTTCGCTGGGGCATATATATCTCTGGGAAGTTCCGCCATACTGAAACACGTTGCGTTGGACGTCGCGTTCGGCTAGCCCTGGTCAGGCTTCGGCAGTCAAGCCCATGCAAGGCGTCGATCGACGAGCATGGTTGGAATATCGCTCTGTCTCAAACGCTTCAGCGTAGTTTCGTTAGTATCAGGCTACCCTTGATGCCTCGAGCCCTATCGCAATGCGGTCATAAGAGAGGTTGGCCCAAGGCACTCATCATTCAGAGCTGGCCTCGCTGTCCTACTGCTGCTGCTTCATTCATTATACATTTTAATTACTCCTTCTCAACGCAGTGCGTTCGAAAGACTGCCGGCAGTCAACTACATTACTTCCATTCCCGTTACCATTCTTTCTCTTTCACGTTCGCAGACCTAGGTACCACCAAGATGGGTTTCGGAATTCTAGAAGACCGCCATATGGCAGCTCCTCCGGGAACATCTACCATCAACGACTCTGAACCTGCCCGTAGGATACATCCGTCAGAATAGTAACACGATGTCACTAATACCTGTTCAGTAGACTCAAAGGTTGACTTTAGCGACGTCAAGCGCGATGGCGATGTTATCCTGCAGCCGCAGCCTTCGGATAGTCCCAACGATCCGCTTAACTGGTAAGAAATAATGAAATCCCCGTCACGATACATTGTCTCACGCGCGACAGGTCACCGAGAAGGAAGGAATGCATCATGATTCTGCTCGCTTTCAGTTCCGGTGTCACAACAGCGTAAGCATCGAAGACACTCCATTGTTCCCACAAGCTGAGTCTCCGCCAGTCTTGGACCCATGGTGACACCCGCACTTCCACTCATCGCCATGAAGTACAACGTCAGCATCGATATGGTTTCCAGTTTGATCATTGGATTTCTCGCCTTTTGGATCGGTTTCACCACGTTCTTCACGGCTGCTGGAGCGAACATCTGGGGCAAGCGACCCTTCTTCATCATTTCCACCGTGATCCTTCTTGCAACGAACGTGTGGGGATTCTTCACCAGGGTGTGTATCGAGAGATGAGCTACACCGGTCTTCGTTAACGAAGTGCAGTCCTTCGTCTCTCTCGCTGTCATGCGAGTCGTGCAAGGTATTGCATCAGCACCCCTCGAGACACTTGTCACCTCCACAGTATCCGACATGTACTTTGTCCATCAAAGAGGTACTAGGATCGCAGTTTGGGGCTGCATGCTAGCCTCTGGTGTGCTTCTCGGGTAAATTCCTCTCCACCCAGTTCATCGCATCTGCATACTGACCCAGTCTTAGCCAAACAATCGCCGGCGCTATTATTCAGAACGTTTCTTTCGAGGCAACGTTCGGTATCTCTGCACTGATCTTCATTCCGATCCTCTTCGGCATGTACTTTTTCGTCGTCGAGACCACCTACTATGGCGCCCGACCTACTACGGACAAGCTTGCCGTCAGTGAGAAGCACAAGTCCGTTTCTTCTGTTTTCGAGCTCGAAGAGGAGAGAGAGCCATACCGCAGCCAGCTAGCGCTCTTCCGTGGCCGCTTGTCACAAGAGTCATTCTGGAAGAACGCGTGGAAGCCTGTGCCACTCATAGCATTCCCGGCAGTGCTATTCAGCACTATCGTCTATGGGTCTTACTTTGTGAGTGAACCCCAAGAGCTTTGCGCGAGACATCCACTGATTTTCTCTTCCTTTCTAGACCTGGCTCCTCACCATCTCCGTCCTCTCCGTCAACATCTTCTCCGCGCCACCGTACTCGCTGAATCCAGCACAAGTCGGTCTTACCAACCTACCTCTCCTCGTTGTCGCACTTATCGGCTCGCCCCTGTCCGGCTGGACAGCCGATGCTCTCGCGAAGTTCATGGCCCGCCGCAACAAGGGTGTCTTCGAGCCGGAATTCCGCCTGACTCTGATGGTACCTGCCGTCATCTTCGCCACAATTGGCTTCCTCGGCTTTGGTATGAGCACTTCTGCTGGCTACCCCATCGTTTGGCCCTTGGTATTCATGTCCATTCACTCGCTCTCCGTGCCGTTCGCGTCGACAGCCAGTCTGACCTACGTCATTGACTGCCACCCCAAAGATGCAAACCAGGCTTTCGTCACCATCAACTTCACAAAAGCAGTGTTCACCTTCATCGCGACAACCTATGCGAACGGCATCATGGCCAACATCGGACCACGTGCGGTGTTCGACGGCATCACGGTCATCAACCTGGGAATCTGTGCGCTTACCATTCCGGCGTATGTGTTTGGCAAGAGGTTCAGGAGTTTGGTGGCGCGGAGCTCATTTGGTAAGAAGATCTCTGGCTGAGAGCTTGGGCCGTGCGTCTTCTACTGCGACGACAAGGCATGAATTCGAAGGGATAGTGATGATATATGTAGTTTCATGAATACACACAGTCGTTATAGATCTGAATTATCACAAATCCATCCTGTTCATGATGAGACGCACGAGGCTTTGTGCCACATGAGCGAGCTGGTTCGCGTTGGCTCGATCACAGGAGCAGCTTCAGATTACAGGAGTTGATACCGTGACTTTGAACGGGTACTGTGTTGTCTGATCTGCGTAAGGGGAAATGGTGACTCGATGCGGAGAAGGTATGATACAGTAAGTAAACTTTTGAATTTGAAGAGAATTCTTTGGTATCGTGATTCTAAATATAATGCACCCACACCCAAACGCCGTTGACAACTTCTGTAGTGCCCTATGCCAAACATTCCACGATCTCTTCGTGAGTGAGCACATGCGTCCCGCGCTTGGTGCAAGTTCTTACATGATAATTTTGGTCTTGCGATACATCCAAGCGGTTCTCTGCGCTCTGCGTCGTCACTCCTGACGGCGCGATATGGTGGCACAGGTCTTCGCGTCTCGGCGTTCATGTCGCATCAAGACCCGTCTACTAGACAAGAGCAAGCGACCTGCTGTTGACTGTGACGTCCTTGGAGTGGTATGTGAGGCGAGCGTCATTCGCTGAAATTGAATAGTAGCTCGATGCTTCAGTTCGTCACTCGTCTCGCACCGCCCTCCATCTCTCTAGCCCCTGGTCTTTGTGACAACATCTGTGCCATGGACTGCGACGAATTCGAGGCTGACGAAGTAGCGTATCTAGGGCTTAGTGGTGATGTCAGGCTGGCTCGTCGTGATGTCGAGATGTTGATGGATGATGGAGATGATGAGGTTGCGTTCTTGAGGAAGACGCGCGCAGGTGGGAATTGGCTGACTGGCGGCATTGTGATAGTGTATGCGAGCTGTCTTGTTGGTCTGATGTGGAATGCTTGAGGATGAAACGTGGTGATCGTTCGGTGGTAATAAGAGCAGGGCTTGTTGTTTGATATCGTCGATACGATGGTACGATGTGTAATAACCGGATGTTGGATGTCTCTTCTCAGCTGATGAAATGTCTGTTATAAGCAAAAGCGTAGCAAGAGCAGCAACCACTCATCTTATATCCATCCACGAATCCAAATTGACTCACCCAACTAGACCCACACTAACTCTCTACCCTCGGAGTCACAAGCAACTCGCCCATCCACGCAAGCCTCTAGCGCGCGTGCCCCCCAAACCCGCCCGCGCCGTGACATGTGAAGCCCTTCCCGTTTCGAGCCATGATCACCCCACGGCATCGTGAGCATCACGTCTTGCACATGCGGATCCGGACCCAATCGGCGGATAATTCTCGTTCCAAAGGAGACAACTACGATCAACGCAGACTAAACGACATGCACGCGATCGTGGGTTGCGTCCAGCTCATCTAGCTCCCGTTACCCCGGGTGGGTTTTCCGTGTGCGACTACGGTGCTTTGAGCAATTTGTCTTTTCCCCCAGTTTGCGCGAGCCGACCCTCCACCTCCACCCTCCAAACGCCCGGAAAAGCAAAAAAGGGCCGAGAGGCGCATCGCATTGCGCATTGTACTTGCAGCTTACACACCTACACAATTCGAGAAGCAGCCAAGGTGCCGAGGCGTGTGATGGTAGTTGGTGCGTGTTTGAACTTTGTATGGTGCTCGTGTGTGTGCTTGTTTGGAGATGGGAGGCTGCGACACGTCATGCACGGAGCCTAAAGTGCGGGGTGGGCCTCCGCGAACACTGGCTAGGGCGAAGCAACGGCGTCTGGTTCGACGGCCACAGAGCTTCTAGCATGCTTCCACCGAATGTTTGGACAAGTTTTAGCCTGAGATGAAAGATACGACGCGAGGTAGATCACCGACCTCGGAGGATCTCCCATGAGTCTGGATACGAGAGATGTTGTTTTGAGCGGAGTAAGTTTAGATGGCATGTACGACACTGGCATGGAGATCGCGATGCGGAGCAGCTGATGGATCACAGGTAACCTCAGCGAACGGTGTAATACCTGCTCTGCTCTACAACGTTTCTTTTGCGGCTTGCACTAGCGCGAAGAGATATGCGTAGTACTCATGTATACTGCGGGTATAACTGCAAAGCAATGCATATGAGGAGCCAGACTCCGCGGGTATTGAGAAATCAGCCCGACATGTGAGCCCAGTCTCGTCATTGTTGCGGTGTAACGGTGTTCCAAGGCTGCATCCACGACAGCACGTTCAGGCAGATGTCTGGCAAGTCGTAGTCAGAGCAATGACATTACTTTTCCTATCGTACAAGGTCGGCCAACTTTTAGACGTCGCAATATAGTACATCCAAGTCATTATCCAAGCCTTCTGCATCCGCAGCATTAACGTATCTTGCAGCGCACAACTGCGCCCAGGTATCCGAACATGCAAGCATATCCACACGGCACGCATGCTGACATGCCGTTCGTATTTTCCAATTGTCCCAAAGAATTCAAAGTCGAGTTCAGGGGATCTAAGCTCGGCCGCTGCGGACGCGCTTGGCTTCGGGGCGCTGAAGGTGCGAGGCTGGGATCCAGCTCTCATCGTAGGCCTTTGCGCCGGAAGTGACAGCAGGACCATCAGCACCAACGACGGCAACCTGATCGGCGGGGTCGACCTTCTTGCTCTGGCCCGACGACGCCTTAGCACGCTCACCACCCTTGCCGCGGCCCTTCTTCTGCGGGAAGAAGGTGGAGATCCAGGTGTTGTAGATGAAGTACACGGTTCCACCGAAAGCGCCAAGGAGGACGAGGTACAGGAAGATGCTAGAGAGAAGTAAGTACATGTGTCCAGGCTGAGTGGTGGATTGCTACGTACATCTGGGGGTCGAAGAAGCTAGTGGGCGCCTCAACAATGCTGACAGTCTCGTTGTAGACCGGGACGGTGATGAGGTTGTTCTTGCTGTCCTTCAGCACAGTCACGAGCTGGAGGCGGAGATTCTGGGGGTGCATCTCCGTCGTGAAGCTGTAGGGAATCGTCTCGTTGGCGCCAGCGGGGATCTGGATGGAGTAGCGCTGGCGAGTGAGGTTGCGAAGGACCTGAGATTCTCCCTTGATCTCCTGGATCAACGAGCCACCGACAATGGTGACGCCGACGGGGGTTGGCTCATTGTTGACCACAGACAGACGCGCCTGGGTGGCCTGGCCGTTGACGAGCTTGACGCCGAAGATCTCAGACTGGGGGAAAGAGACGGAAACGGCGACATTGAGGTTGGGCGTTTGCGGCTCGTCTACTGCTTGTTGCACCTTCTCAGCCTGGAGACGCGACCGTTAGCCATCTGATGTCATGCTGCGTCAGAAAGTTTGGAGCTTACCGCGGGCTCAGCATAGGTGCCGAGAGCTCGGAGAGAGAGCAGGAGCAGAGATGAAAACTTCCAATTGACCATGATGAAGACGATACAAGACGGGGAGAGGGATGAGAGGAGGAGGGACGGCGTGTGGGAACAGATGGGGTAATTCGAACGTGGCTTCTGGGAAGTGACGTCCGGGCGCAGCTGCCTCTTGGCGTCGGAGGACGGAACTAGAGCCGCGGCAATGCGACGCCGTCTCTCCACCTCCTCTCCTACAACGAAGATGGTGAACAGGTGCACTGCAGCGTACATCATTATGAACACGAACTGTCGCAAAACCTGAGCGCAATGTAGACTTCTAGGTCATTTTATTTCTATCATCCTTGCGTCAAGATGAGCTATCGCTTGACACTCTCTGTGGCTGGCCCCTTCCAAGTATAGACTGTTCCCTGGTACGCGCCATATCGCGTTGTACATGGCATCCACGCCGCAAATGTCGCTCCTTCTATTTCAAACCCAGCGGCACCCATGGTTCTGCAGTTTGCTATAATTGCATATACACCGCTTTGGAGTGGCTGCCCGCCGGCATTGCGCATGGCTGCATACCGTTAAAAGCCAGACTGGCCGTCTTCACTGCCCAGTGATATTTGATGTCACCGCAATAACTCACCTTCACTTGTGGTTTCCTATTCGGGCTTGAAAAATCTCTACTAACCGCAGAAAGAGCGCTCGACCCTCCTGCACCTGCTTTCTCTCCGCCTTCTCTCATACACGTAAATCGCAGCCATTCGATTCTCTATCATCCAGTCACACACCTGTTCGCCGATCGCCTGCGCCCTTTGCGATATGTCGCCTTCGCTCAGCGGCCTTGGCCTGGCTTCATCGGGCCCCTCCGACGCCGATTTAGCAGACTTTACCAGACGCTTCGAGCAATTCCAGCTGTACGAGGATGAAAAGGCCAAGTTCATGACCGTAAGTGCACTGTAACTGTCACTATCACTCAGTCGTGACTGACGCGCAATAGGAAATGAAAAATCGGTATCAATATATGCACCAACAGTACCAGATATTGGCCACCGAACGCGACCGCGATCGCAACTGGATCCTCGCATGGCAAAATGAGAAGCAGCAGTATGAGAGGTCGCACCGGAATCTGCAGCGGAATATGGTAATCCCGTCCAGCCACACATCGCATTGGAGCTGACTTGGATGTGACAGGCTGAGAATCCATTTGTTATGGTACTGATTGACGGCGACGGCATGATTGTGAGCTTCACGTACTGCGAGTTGAGTGCAGTCTGCTGACTACATACAAGTTTAGTGACGACTTCCTCCGCGAGGGAGAGCAAGGTGGCCGCCGGGCTGCTGTCCAATTGTTCGCCGATATCCACGAGTATATCGAGAATGAGTGCCAAGATATCCCATTCGGTTACCGCATCGTCTGCCGCATCTATGCGAACGTTCGGGGGCTGGGCGACGTACTCGTACGCAGGGGAATATATGAAGACATCATCGAGTTTGAGGACTTCGTGCGTGGATTCACGCGGGGAAAGACATTGTTCGACTTTATCGACGTCGGTGCGGGAAAAGATCGCGCTGACGAGAAGATCATCGGTGAGTGCTACTGTATTCCGCAAAACCCACTATCCTAAGCTATTTCCGAGTCTAGACGTCCATGTAGGCTTCTGACCGTACTGACAATCTTAGAATTATTCAAATTATACTCCCAAGATTATCATTGCCGTCGGATCTTCTTCGGGTGCTCACACGATAATGGCTACGCGCGAACGCTTGAGCAGTGCTCCGATCGCCTTCAGGTGACAAACAAGGTGGTTCTCCTTGAGGGTGTTCCATTTGAGAAGGTACGTAGCATATATGTCACATGACTGACTCGCGCGAGCCATGAATCCACGAACACTAACTTCACCTCTCTGTAGGAACTCGTTGGCCTGCCGTACCAAACGAAGAAGTTTCCAGGTCTCTTCAGGGAGACCAAGCTCGTGGTTTGGGGATCTGGACCTACATACGCCGCTAGTACATACGCCAATGGCCTTCCACCAGCATTTGTTCCGGGCAGGATCAACTCGAACGATAGTTCTAAGGCGTATGTAGCTTCGACAGGTCTCCCAAGCCGGTTCCCAGCCCCATCAAAGTCGCCGATCATGGATAGTCCTTTGCCAAACCGAGCGGCAATGATGACTTTGCCTAGAACGCCTTCCACATCAACACTGGCTTCGGACAGTACGTTCCCAGCACTCAAGCCAGATCCACCAGCGCCGTTGCTGAACTGGGCCGCTAAGGCCGCTGCTCCGCCGCCACCCGTTACAGAGACCCCCGTCTACAAGCCCGCGAACCGCGAAGAAGTCATCGCACGTAACCGCGCCGGCCAACGCGTCGATCCGCCATGTAAGGACTACGATAAGGCTGAGGTGGACCGCATGAAGAAGATCAAATTGTGCAACGTTCATTTCCTTCGAGCCGAATGCCCCTACGACACCAAATGCACCCATCTCCACGCGTATAAGCCTACCAGCGACGAGTTGGCTACCCTCCGCCTTGTCGCTCGCATGGCACCTTGTAGCAACGGCAGTGTTTGCCAGGATATTAGGTGTATCTATGGCCACCGCTGCCCAGCACCGCCCAACAAGATTCACTACGCCAAGGGCACGAAGAGCTGTATTTTCGGCGAGTCTTGCAAGTTTCCAGCGAGCTTGCATGATACCGACACCAACGTGGTCAAAACCCTGGTTGTTCGCTAGATGGGGGAGTACGGAGGTTTGTGTGACTAAGTCGCCAGGTGGAAGAGGGCTCGATAGAATCTCAGACATTAGCAAGTTTTAATGTACCCTGAATCAAGTGGCCACTCATGAGCACCCCGCAGTCTACATTGGTGTCAACAACGAAGCTTCGCAAACTTGTGATGCAATGTAGGCTTCAGGGTCAAAATATCTTCAATTCGCGCATGGTGTTCAAGGCCAAAAGTGCCATATTCATTCCCTTTTCCACTCGTCAAACTCTTCATTGAGGTGTTGTTTCAATGCCGCAAACTTATTCTTAAAGTTCTTCCCACATCGCCAACATTTCATGTCCCAACTAGGCCAATCTCCAGGAGAAAACCTCTTACTATCTTCTTCTAGGGGGAACTCGTCTAATTGAACCAGGAAACTACTGTTGAAGCTCAAATAGTGTTTCTTGTGCTTCATCCAGTCTGAATGCATGTCCCGACTGAAGATATGTATATGTAGATGGTTCATCGAGGGGTGGGTATGTACGCCTACTACGATATCTTTAGACCAGTCGCGGCCGGGTGGGAGCAGTGCTGCGCGCTCCTCGGGTGGAGGTGGCGGGTCAGGAGAGCTCATCATTGCCTCAAAAGCCTCATTGTATGGTTTATCTGAAGCGCTGAAGTCGCCATATTGACGTCGGAGTTCGTACGCGGCGAGTTCTTTGAGACGGACGGCGCGTTTTCGTACTTCGGCGAGGAAGGCTGGGTCTGTGGAGAGAGCTTGGAGTGGGTGCTGATCGTAGTAGACCTGTTTCCGCGGGATGAGCAAAAGATGTACACTTGTTGGTTGTCAGCGCGCTAGTTCTCCTTAGTTTATCCAACACCATGGGCACATACCTCGCCTTGGGGTACTTGTCAGTTATTACGACAAAGTCATCGTCGTATTCCAGTATCTTGTTCTCAGGGTTCGTCTCCGGGCTCTCGATATAGACGCCTAGTCCGTTCCGTCCATCCCAGCGCTTAGCTGTCTTGGAAGCCTTCTGTGTCGTACTGGGGCCGTCTGCGGCGGAAACGATGGGTGATTTTGGTTTCTTCGACTGCGTCATGAGTTCTGTGACTGCACCGTGAGTTAAGGTTGCGCGTTGAGATTGTTGAAGGCATGCGATGAGACGTACATGCATTGGGGCGCTTCGAAGAGGCAGGGTCGATTGCGGGCTGAGCTTGATTTGCCGTCTCCCTGCCTGCTATCTCTTTGTCCGTAATGGCATCGTGGGTATCCGTCATGTTTGGGCGGCCCGTCATTGTCGATTTGTTGTCGCGTTTGGGTTTGCGAAAAGATCTCGTATGCTTGTTCGAGGTTTGTATGATAGGGGCTCGAAATAATCGGGTTGCTATCCAGCTTGGGGCCAGTGGGCGCATCGATACTCGCGAATGCTTCGTGAGGGTTTCGTGAAGCAACGATGACGATGAGGCTCGGAGTGGGTCCAAGCGTACCGAGGCATCCCTGCAATCATCGGAATTTCGGATTGCGCATCGCGTTCGAGTGAAAGCGCCAGGAACTCGCGATGGCTACTATCTTAGGTTCTTCTTTCCTCTTTGGACTCGCTGAAGGGTGGTGCAATATTGATCCCGGTGGTTGAGCCCCTTCATTAGCGACTGCGCCCTTTTCACCGCCCACGAACAAATCACATTATCATACATCCACTCTTTCTGCCTGAGTATATTTCTATGGACTCTAGGACATTCAACTCCACTATACTTATCGCGCACGATGCCCAAGAACGCTCACCCACCCCGCGGCAAGCCCGCCAAGAAGACTGTGCCCCCTGAGGAAGACACATCGTTCATTGTTTTCGGTGACGGCAAACCCAAGAAGAAGAAGGGTGAGAGTTCTGGCGGAGACGCTGCCCAGAGCGAGAGTAAGGGCAAAGGCAAGCCCGCAGCTGGAGCTGCTGAGGATGGTCCCAAGAAGCCGGATACAAGGACGCTCATCGCCGGCGCATCGTGGACAGGAAAGCTTCCGGTGAACCTCCTGTCGGAACACTTCCAAAAACAGCAGTGGAGCAAGCCTGACTATCGCATCGTAAGTAGCCGCGCCGTAGTAGTAGGTCATTGCTAATTACAGCAGCGGAAAGATGGCGACCGGCATTTTGCCTACGCTGTGGTACTCTCCAAGATGAACCAGAAGACACGGCAGACCACCACTCTACCTCCCATCAAGATCCCGTCGGAGCTCGAAGAGCAAGCCCATCAGCCTACTGCCGTCGAAGCGCGCAACTTTGCCGCCGCCTATACTCTCTTCCGAGTCGCCAGCGGGAAGAACCTCCACACCATGCTTCCGCCCACGTATAAAGACCTTTGGAAGGGACAATTCATGGACCTCAAGAAGAGGGATGAACAAGAGGGCAAAGGATGGATGTATGAGGCAGACCCCTTCTTCGGTTTTGCTGAAAGGGAGAAGGCGAGAGAGGCAGCAGCAAAGGCACGTGAGAAGAGACAGAAGCAGCAGGAAGAGGCGCAGAAAGCCCACAACCAACAGCCAGGTGCCGCCATGCCAAGTTCAAACGGTCCAGCGCCTAGCCGGAACTTGCTCAAGGGATGGGAGAGAGTGCCCAAGATCGAACTCGGGAAGAGGACACGCAAAGAAGCCGAGCGTCTCATCCGCCGGGACGCACTATGGAACCCGAACGGCATTGAGATGGCGCCGTCTACAAAGAACCGACTATTCGAGGAGATCGCGAACCTTGGCTTTCGGAGAAGCCACGTCGAGGAGGCCGCCGACATTTGCAAAGATCGCGAGGAGATTATTGAATGGCTTCTGATTCATGTACCTGAAGACGACCTACCATCGTGGTCACTACCAGAAGGCTACGTTGCTGGCGTCAGTATGGCTAGCTCTAACCTCAAGCGTGAGGGTGCCGTGAAGCGCCTTGCTGCAGCCGGATACTCTATGGACCTTTGCGAAGAAGCATACGATAGTCAAGGCAGTGATGAGAGAAAGGCCGCGGCTTTGCTACAAGCTCGTCTACTCCGACCAGATGAGGAAGAGAGTAGCCTAGTACAGGATCTGGAAGATCTCTCGCTGAGCAATGGTGAGCCTGAGACGTCTCCGGAGGACGATCCGTGGGAGGTGGAGATGTCATCACTTGAGGCAATATACGACGGTCTCTTTTCACGACCTGCGCCTGAATCTTGTCGCATCGAGCTAGACGTTAAGCAACAAGGAAAGCGGCTCATACTACAGGTTAGGAAGCCTTTCGGTCCTTACCCCGCCGTCGTGCCTATCATCACGTTCGAGGCGGCCATCCCAGCATATATTCGTTTGAGCATCATTCGCCAAGCGCTTCTCCACGCTGAAGCCAACTTCATTGGCATGCCTATGGTATACGATATCGTAGACTGGATCCAAACGAACGCTGGTGATATCTTCCAGAACCCAGGAAGATTGACCGATGTTTCGTCTGGCCTTGCAGCAGCAGATCACTCGTCAGAACAGCAAAGTCAAAAACGAAGAGCAAAGGGACGACCCAGAAGGCCTATCGAATGGACGCCCGCCACGCCTACTAGCCAAAGGATGTTGTCTGATTGGCAAGCTAAGCAAAAATCTCCAGCTCAGCAAAAGATGATGAACGCTCGGCAGTCACTACCTGCGTGGAGGTTGAGGGATGAGATTGTCCGCACCGTCAACGACTGTAAGGTCACCATCATCTCAGGTGAGACTGGATCGGGAAAATCGACTCAATCGGTGCAGTTCGTCCTCGATGATCTGATACAGCGACAGCTTGGTGCCGTTGCGAACATCATCTGTACCCAGCCACGCAGGATTTCTGCGCTTGGTCTTGCTGATCGTGTGGCCGATGAGCGATGCTCTCAGGTCGGCGACGAGATTGGGTATACTATCCGCGGAGAATCTAAACAGAAGCCAGGACTGACTAAGATCACGTTTGTAACGACTGGTGTACTTTTAAGACGTCTTCAAACGTCGGGTGGCAATGCCGACGATGTCGTTGCCGCCTTGGCTGATGTCAGTCACGTTGTCGTCGACGAGGTTCACGAGCGTAGTTTGGACACAGACTTTTTGCTCGTTCTTTTGCGCCAGATCTTACGAAAGCGGCAAGATCTCAAGGTCATCTTGATGAGTGCCACTCTCGATGCTGCTGTTTTTGAAGCCTACTTCAAAGAGGTTGGACCCGTAGGCCGTGTCGAGATTGAGGGTCGCACTCATCCCGTGACCGACTACTATGTCGACGATGTCGTGCATTTCACTGGGTTCAAGGGATATGGCATGGGCGACGAAGATGCCTCCGAGGACAAATCTTTCTCGGCGAACCTTCGGAGTATTGGCTTTGGCATCAACTACGACCTCATTGCGGAGACTGTCCGTCACATTGACCGCCAGCTCGGTACCAAGGATGGAGGTATACTTATCTTCCTTCCTGGTACTATGGAGATCGATCGCACGCTCCAAGCGCTCAGTCAGTTCGCAAACCTTCATGTATTGCCTCTACATGCATCACTCATGCCAGTCGAGCAAAAGCGCGTGTTCCCTCCCGCTCCTCACGGCAAGCGTAAGGTCATCGCGTGTACCAACGTCGCAGAAACGTCGATCACTATCGAGGATATCGTCGCTGTCATCGACACGGGTAGGGTCAAGGAGACAAGCTACGACCCGCAAAACAACATGGTTCGCCTTGCCGAAACCTGGGCCTCGAGGGCAGCATGTAAACAGCGACGAGGTCGAGCGGGGCGTGTCCGAGCAGGCGACTGCTACAAGTTATACACACGCAACGCTGAAGCTAAGATGATGGAGCGACCGGATCCGGAGATTCGACGTGTGCCACTTGAACAGATGTGTCTGTCTATCAAGGCAATGGGGGTGCAGGACGTTACAGGCTTCCTTGCCTCAGCGCTCACACCGCCAGAGAGTACAGCGGTAGAGGGTGCGATCCAATTGCTCTCGCAGATGGGTGCCATCACAGACGACGAACTCACTGCACTTGGTCGACACATGTCTATGATCCCGGCAGATCTCCG